CCTGCCTCAAAATAAACAAAAAAGGATTGGGGATGCGGCACAGTGGTAAAGCACTTCTGGGTTCAATTCCCAGAACTGCATAAATAAATAAGGAAAGAAGGAAGGAAAAGACAATGTGTACAGAAAAGGCCGGATAGAGATGAATACAAATCTGACTCAGTCAGAACAGCTGATGTCCCTGTGTCTCAACTTCTTTCTCTGCAGGAATCACCCACCTGCAGGGTGCTTGGCCTTTGGGCACCACGGTACGGGCAGGGCATGCCAGCAGAACATGCTTTCCTTCCCCACTTTCTTTTTGTTATCAAAGGAGAAAGCAGCTTAGTTTCCCAGGGAAGGCAAAGTTTGCCTAGCCCTAAATTCTAAAACCAAGTTTTCATAAGAAACACTGTCAGAAGCTGTCGGCCCAGGCGGCAATGCCTCAGATCATGGTTTTAGAACAGACCAGACAGGGATTTGTGACACCTCTTTTTGATAACATCCCAGGGTATTCAGTAACATAAACAAAGACCAAATGACCTCTGCAAAGACCACTTAGCTCTACATGCATCCAGAGGCAGGGGGTTAAACAGGTTCCGGGGTGACTGTCTGCAAAGGGTTTGGTCTCAGCCAAGCAAAGGGAAGATCCTGAGCTCACTTTGGATTGACCACATGGTCACCAACAGCAGCCTCTGCCTATGTCCTCCATGCACACCCAGAGCACACAGCCCCCAGCATCCTTCCGGAACAAGAGAGGAGCAGCCACTTCCCCTTTTATCTCTCCGAATAACTGCATATCCTCCATGACTGGCTCTTCTCAAAGACCAAGCCGCCTGGCCTTAACTTGAAGGGCTTTTAGGAGAGCACTGCCTGGTGTTCAAACAGGTTCAGGACAGGGAGGAAAGCAATGTGACATAGAAGGGACGCTCCAGGCTGTGGCCAAGAAGGGCTCTCAGGGGCTGTCCAGGCCAATCTCACCACCTAGTCTACATTTTCCCAAGTGCCTACTGCACACCAGGCACTGGGGACAGAGAAAGAGAATTTACCATGACTGCCTGGAAGCTCACAGTCCACGGGGAGGCACATGGAAAGGCAAGAGGGGTTGGGGAGTAGCAAAGGCAGAGGGGGTCGACTCTACCTGGGAAGGCCAGGGAAAGCAAACTGGGTCCCCATCACTGAAGAGGTGAGGCACACAGAGAAGGAGCACCACGCCTTGGAAAACCTCGAGATAGCCTGGGAGGGCTGGAGCATGGAGTGTGAGGGATGACATGGTGGCGGGGGACAGGTATGGTGAATGGGGCCCAGATCCTCGGGCCTTGTACATGCAGATGAATTTTCTTTCAAATTTGGTTCCCCCACCCTCTTTTTTTTTTTTTTTTTGGCAGTACCAGGTATCCAAACCAGGACTTCACATGCCAGGCAAGCACTCTACCACTAGCCACATCCCCAGGCCCCAGGTTTGGAAAGGAGCAAACAAGACCAAGAAAAACCAAATGACTTAGTTAACAGCAAGTTAGGGGGCAGGCCAAGCATGCAAGCCAGATCTCCTGGTTCCCATGGTCGATTCTCTACCCAGGTGCCTCCCAAGTATTAGCAGATAAGCCATTCAACTCACCACCCGAAGAACTCACAGTCAGGACCTGGCCATCTCTCCAGCAGTGAATATGCTGTCCTGTTCCCTTGGCAAGTCACTCCCTACAACAGCTCTTCCTAACTCACTGTGGCTCTCTGCAGTGGGAGAGAGCTGGACAGCTATTCCAATCAGAGTACAGTCTCTTCATGGGAGAACTGACCCACAACAGTCCCTGAGCCAGGCAAGCTAGAGTCCCTGAGGCAAGCCCAGAGGGGTTTATGCTCCATGCAGGCCCTAAACCCCACAGGCCCTGATTGCACACAGGATGCTGACCCAGGCTGGGGGCCAGAGATGAATCAAACTCCACCCCAGTAGCTCACAGTCCAGCAGAGGAGATAAGCCAGGCACAAAAGTAACTATAAAATAAGGCAGATAGTGATAAGAGCCAGAGATAAACTGCAGTGGGGTTCAGAACAGCAAGAGGAGTCGGGCTTGGGTGCGACGGGTGATTCAGAGAAGAGAGTATTGACTACCTTCTCCCCTGAGATGCAGGATGGGGGACCTGGGGGAGCACGGCTGCTACCCTAACAGTTCTGCTGACTCCCAGAGGCAGGGGAGGAGCTGGCAGTGGACAAAGAAAGATGCTCCTGAAGCATCCAGATTCAGGCAGGGAGGGGGAAGGTAGGCCACAGTGTTTCGGAGATAAGGAGGGGTGGGGGAGGAGGAGCCTAGGATTTCTATGCAGGAGCGGCAAGTCCCTTGAAAGGGGACAATGCTAGAGGACCTGCCTTGGAATGGCATCAGTGTGGCAGGCACTGTGTTTACTTGGGATGTCCATTTAGGATGTGGGGTGGGGATCAGTGCACATTGGGGAAGGGGGACACAAAAGTTTCCCTCTCCCCAGGCCGCCCCCAAACCCCACCACTGATAAGAAAGGATGCAGGGTGGTGGAAGAGGAAGCTGCCGGCCCTAGGAAGAGCAGGCACCTCCCAGTACGGCGGGAGAGAGAGAGAGAGAGCCCATCCCGGGGTCCTCGACGCCCACCCGGCCGGGGCCGGGGAAAAGCCCGCGGAAACCGAGCCTCCGGGCAGCCGGCTCGCGCCTCCCCGGGTGCGGGGCCCGGCGCTGCGCACGCACCTGCCCCCGGGCTGCCGCGACACCTGCCCCGGGGCGGGGGTCGCCCTTACGCCGCCGGGCCGTGGCCCCGGGTCTCGGCAACGCGCCAGGCCGCGGGTCCCCTCGCCACTCCCTCCGCCGCCCAGCCTCGGCCTCGGCCGGGCACTCTGGGCTCCCTCGGGCCGCACGGCCGCCCTCCGCCCCGGCCCGGCGGTCACTCACCCGCCCGCGGCCGCCGCTAGTCCCTCCGATCGCGCTGGGCCGCCGCCGCCTCACGCCGCCGCAGGGGCAGCGCGGGCCCCGCGGCCCCGGCCCGGCCGGCTGCGCCCCGCGGCCCCGCGCGCCCCCGCCGCCGGCTGGCCCTGGGCGAGCGGCCGGGCGGCGGGCATGCTCCGGGCCGTCGGGGCGCCGCTGCTCCGGGGGCCGCGCGGCCGACTCTCCGCGCCCAGCCGCGCCTCAGCCGCCGCTGCCAGCGCGCGTCGCTCGCATTCCCCCACTCGCCGCGGCGCGGCGCCTCCTCCGGCCGCGCGGGGGAGCGGCGCGGGGCGTCCCTCCGGGCCCGGCCGCTGCCGCCGGAAGAGCCCGGCTCGCCGGGGCGCCCGAGTGTCGCGGAGTGGCGGCTCCTAACAGCTCGCCTTTGAAAACGACGCTCCGGAATCGGTGGCGAAGCCGGGAGCCGCCGGCGAGGCCGCCCGGGCACTGGGATGGGGGCGCGGGCCGGCGAAGCCCCACCTGCGTGCTCGGCTGCGGACCCGGACCCGCGCCAACCTGCGCCGGGTCCTCCCCAAGACCCCAGCAGGCCCGGGGCGCCTGCGGGCCATAAGCACGGGACAGCCAGCGCCGGGGAGGATGCTCGGAGCCCTGGTCCCCACCTGCGAAAGGAGCTGGACGAGGTGCAGAGGCAGCTCGCCCCTGGTGTTCCATCCTGACAGGCCTCCGCCTGGCACATGGAGAGACCAACAGGGTGCTTGGGTGAGACTGACAGGAAAACAGGAAGTGTGCATTTAGGTTGAGGAAGGACAGACCGTTTGCCAAAACCTGAAGTCATGGAACTTAGTGGAGCCATCACTTAGTATCACCTTATGTGGCCTAGAGAGTGTGGAATACTTCCCTGGAAGGGCAAACCCAAGATGAAAATAAAGAGGTCCAAGCTGGGCACGGTGGCCGCACGGTGGCCCCACAGTGGCCCCACAGTGGCTCATGCCTGTAATCCCACTGATTGGGAATTCAGAAGGCTGAAGTAGGGAGATGCAAGTTCCAGGATGGCCTCAGAAAATAAGTGAAGCCCTAGCAAGTTAGTGAGATCCTGTCTGAAAAAATAAAAAGGGCTGGAAATGTTCAGGCATAACATTGGGTTCTACTGGGCCCATGGGTTCAATCCCCAGTATTCCCCCCAACAAAATTAAAAATAAGGGATGTGTTGAGACAAAGTAAAGGAGTGCCAACCACACAGGCTATTTATCCCTCTGGGTTGTGGGCAGATGTTCAACCTGAAAGGGCCAGGAGAGCCACCACTGCCCTCCCATCCAAGGTGGGTAAAGGTGTTCCATCAAATACTGCCCCCTCAGTTCCTTCCCTCCACCAGTCTGCCCTACGGTGCAATAAGATTGATTTCTGGAGCATTTCCAGGGTGAGGCTCTTTGAAACTTTGCTCTGTCAGTAGGAACTAAGCTCCGAGACAGAACATCATTGTAGCGTTTTATTAAAACGTTCCCCAGCATTGAGAACTAAACCTAGGGCCCAGCAAGTTAGGCAAGCATTTTACCACTGTGCTACAGTCCCCATTATAACCTTTTTTTTTTTTTTTTTTTTTTTAGTGCTGGGGATTGAAACTGGGGCTTTACATATGCTAGGCAAATGCTTTATTACTGAGCTACACCCTAGTCCCCACTGTAGCATTTTGATGACTATACACAAATGAGGTAACTTCAAGGACTTATATATGCCTGAGACTTTAAAAACACCATTAAAAACTATCTCAGCCAGGCATGGGGGCACACACCTGTAATCCCAGCAACTGGGAGACTGAAGCAGGAGGATCACAAGTTCAAGGCCAGCTTCAGTAATCTAGTGAGACCCCCTCAAAATATAAAAAAGGGCTAGAGAGGGCTGGGGTTGTGGCTCAGTGGTACAGCCCTTGCCTAACAAGTGTGAGGCACTGGACTCAAATCTCAACACTACATACAAGTAAATAAATAAATGTCTATTTACAACTAAAATATATATATTTAAAAGGGGGGAGGCTTGGGATATAGCTCTGTAGAAAGAATCCCTGGGTTCAGTTCCCAGTACCGCCAAAGTAGGTATGAATAAATACACTAATACCATAAGACAGTTCACATCCACAAATATTTATTAAATGTCCATATGTGCCATATTTGAGAAAGACGACATGATTCCTGGTCTCGTGGAGCTTGATGACTCATTACTCCAACATTTGACTAGATTTAAAGCAACTGCAACAAGCACTGTCATTTTCTACCCATCAGAGCACTATATGTGAAGCATTTTTTTCACATTATTGGTCACTGTTACAGTGAAATTGTTAAATACACAATTGTCCTTAAAATCTGTAGTCATAGTGACAACATGGTACACAACGTCCAGCAAGTACAAATTTATGGCTTGATTCCTCATAGAGCTGAGGTCTCTACTGAGATAAAGCACAAATCAGATGAGAAAAGGCTTAGAAACAGGTCCTAAGAATACTGGTATCTTTTAATACATTATCAAACCAGAGCTCTTGACAGGGCAGGAAATTATTTCCAGCAAAATTGTGCAATATAATCAGTATAGTGAGACCCAAAAAGTCTCATAACCAGATATATTTTACTTATGACAAATATGATTTACCTTTATGATTCCTAAAGGGCTCTAGATGTACATCTATTTTTAATTAATTAATTATTTTATTATTGTTTTTTAGTACCGGGGATTGAACCCAGGGGCACTTAGCCACTGAGTTAATATCCCAAGCCCTTTTCATATTTTATTTAGAGACAAGATCTCATTAAGTTGCTGAGGCTGGCTTTGAATGTGTGAGCCTCCTGCCTCAGCCTCCCCAGCTGCTGGGATTACAGGTGTGCACCACTATACCCAGCTTTTTTTTTTTTTTTGAGACTGAGTTTCACTATGTTGCCCAGGCTGGTCTTGAACTCCTGGACTCAAGTGATCCTCCCACCTTCCAAGTAGCTGGGACTACAGGTGTGAGCCACTACACCCAGCTACATTTATTTTTTAAAGCTTGGTTCTCAGACATGCAGAGCAAATAAACATTAAAATTTAGTAAAAACTGTTATTATTTAAAAATTAAAAGGATGAAATGTCTAATTTTATTACATATAAACCTTTCATTTTATTACATATAAACCTTTCATCTATGCATGTAATAAAATGTTCCGAATTCAAACAGCATTCACCAAATCACCTGGCTTTCCTGGATTTAAAAGGCAAACACTCTCTGGTTGGTTATCAATTTCCAAGTGGTCATCTCTAAATTTTTTTAAGGTGGACACAATATCTTTATTTTACATTTATGTGGTGCATGCTAGGCGAGCGAGCTATCACTTGAGCCACATCCCCAGCCCCCATTTCTAAATCTTTAGGGGCCCAGTGGCTGGTACTTCCTTCACATGGTCCTGTTCAAGGCCACCCCATCACCTGTAGAGGTCTACTCGTGGAACACTTGAAGGAAAAGTTATTTTTATTGCAGTGGCAATAACTTTTAGGAAAACAGTCTGTATTTATTTCTAAATTCCCAAATCACCAATTTTATTAAGATGAAAGTACTGTCTGAACTAACATTTGATAGGTTATCCATTTTAAATTTTTTAGTCATTAAGAACAACAAAACCCACACCAGAGGAACGTTCCTTTAGACTCCAAGAAAACCCACGTTTTCATGCAAAGGGTATAGGGTCTTGATTTAACATTAAGCAGCCATTTTAAATGTTAACTGCCATCCTACAAGATATTAAGTTTCACTTTCCTGTACTTCCTCTTACCTGAACTCCCCACCCCCACCCCCTAGGTAGTGACCTACCCCATGGTACCATAACCCTAAGCCAATCTCAGAAGGACACGACCCCTTTTCTCTGGAAAGCCCCATGATGCCGTCAACCTAATCCAATCCCATGCCATTCCCACCTGCCTAGCTCAGACACCCTGAACCTATCCCACAGTGCCATAGCTCCAACTCCAAACCCCTACCCCACAAAAGCTGAACGCCCAAACATCTCGGGGCCTCTCTCCTCTCTATAGAAAGACGACCTTTATTTGTCAGCTTTGAGAAATAAACCTTTGTGTGGATCTCTGCCTGGTCTCTTCCCTTCATTTCTTACTCGATTTCTTACTTGCCCTTCTCTCGCTTTCTCACTTTCTTTTCAAGGAGCAAGACCATCTTAGACCCCCAACAGAAATGCCAACCGAAGATGTATTTTTTTTTTAAGCCAATTGCTTTGGATATAATCCTATTTAAAAGAAATGGTGGAGTTCACCTGTAATCCTAGTGACTCAGGAGGCTGAGGCAGGAGGATTGAAAGTTGGAGGCCAGACTGAGCAATTTAGAGACCCTGCCTCAAAACAAAGTAAAAAGGGCTGGGTGGGATGTAGCTCAGTTGTAGAGAACCAACTGGTTTAATCCCCAATATCACAAAACAAAACAAAAAAACCTTTTTTGGCTTGTGGTTGTGGCTCAGTGTTAGAGCACTTGCCTAGCACGTGTGAGGCACTGAGTTCAATTCCTAGTATCACAGAGGGGGAAAAAAAAAAAGCAAAAGCAACTGTTACCTTAAAAGCCCACTTAACTCATACTGAATCTGAAGGTATTATTTATGCACACTTATTAAGCACCAGGCACTTGACAGAATCTTCATTAATGAAAGGGATCCTATCACAGCTGGGGAAAGCAGACCTGAGCCAGGATGTGACCCTGGTCTGCCTGGCTCGAAGTCTCCCCTCTCCAACCCCTGTGCCCAGCTGTGCACTGCCTCAGCTTGGCTGTGAGTTATAGTCGCTCCAGCTCCAGCTGGAGATGTGGCCAGGAGCCACTGCTGGCTCCTGCGGATAGGCTCTGTATGGGGAAGAAAAGGGCAAAACTGGACCTCAGGAGAGGTGACTTGCCATTTGCATTTTAGAAGGCACTTCCCAGAAGTGGAAGGTTCACTTTGGTTTTTCACTAACTGAAACACAGCCCCAGCAACAAAAATAGTTTACCTCCCTGGGGTAATAATGGATGCTCTTTAAGACTGCCACCTTTCCCACCTCAGGCCCACGTGTGTTCCCCTGGAGCATTCCTAAGATATGCATCACCTAGGGAAAGACAGCTATAAGAATTTCCCTGGGGTCCCTTCTTTACAACTATGAAAAAAAAAAAGAATCAAATTTCTTTTTTTTTTTAAATAAGTAACTGATAGTTCCAATCTATTACACACTTCAAAAATGAAAGCATATGCTTTCGGAGAGGCACAGAAGATGTTTTGATGGAGCTTAATGCCTTTTTTGGAATAAGCCAATTACAGGCTACTCAGAAGATAACTCCTTGGCAAGAAATGACAACTTCCCTACTCTTAAGAATGTAGTAGTCTTTACAATAAAAGTAGGGGACAGGGTTTGGGTTGTGGCTCAGTGGTAGAATGCTTTCCTAGCATGTGTGAGGAACTGGGTTCAATCCTCAGCACCACATGTAAATAAATATCCATCAACAACAACAACAATTTTTTTTTAAAGTAGGGGACAATGAAATATTCTACCAATTTTTTATTTTTTTGAGTGTGTGTGGTGGGGAGATACAAGGGAATGAAGCCAGGGGTGTTTAAACACTGAGCCACATCCCCAGCCCTTTTTTTATTTATATATATTTTGAGGCAGAGTCTCACTAAATTGCTTTAGTGTCTCACTAAATTGCTGAGGCTGGCTTTGCACTTTGCAATCCTCATGTCTCAGCCTCCCATGCTGCTGGGATTACAAGCATGCACCACTGCACCTGTTTTAGTTAGTTTTGAATGTCATATATACACACACACTAAAGGGAATATCACCAGTAAAGCCAACACCTTTACTAGGTTTACACCCAAGCTGTTAAAATGAACTTCTTCTTTACTACTAACTAGAAGTTTGGGGTGGGGGGCTAGAAGACAAAATCAAGAAGGAAGGCACTTGATTCTGTTGATAAGTAATTCTTATTAGCTCAAAGTCTTCAACTGGTTGCAGAAGCTGAAAAGTTCAACTGCTCCATCCCAAGGGTCTTTCTTCCTGGCTAAGAATCCCCACAGGGAGAAGGGAGCAGGGATGTGGGCCTAGCCCTGGAGATCAGACAGGTGATGTGGGGTGAAAGGTGCTCAACAACCACTGGAGATCCTGCAGGAAGGCATGCATACCTTGAGGAGTCATTGAGTGGAACTGGTGCACTGTACATATTTTAAGAGCCACATAAGGGGGGAAAAAAGCTCAAAAGCAAACCAGGATTTAGAACCTGAGCACTGCCAGTGGGAATCAGTTCTGTTTACCAACTAAATATATGTCCCTGTGTCTAATCAGTCTATTTACCAACTCATGCTGAGCTTGAATGTGTGGGCACTAGGTCTGACTGGCCAGCAAAAACTTTGGAGGTTAAGCAGTGCCATCCTAACCTGCTGCTGCCCACAGGCTGCTTCTGAACCAGGAAGCACTGCCCAGACGGGGCCGCAGCCCTCTAGCCAGGTCAAGGAACGGCAGCAGGCTCTGTTGACACATTCCCTGTCCACAAACAGGCAGAGCACTGGTCCAAACCTTGGGATCTTGAAGCACAGACAACTGGAGTATTTGCTTTTCCTTCTGGCACGGGTGGAGGAGGTGGAGAGGGGTGAAAAGGCCTGGAAGATAACTGACTGGCACCCGAAGTCACCTGCTGTAAGGAAACCAGGGTCCCACTGGCTCCTCGTGGGGTGACACAGATGGCTAGGGTATGTCCCTGTGTCTCATCAAGGCTTTACCCATGCCTTTCTTGTCCAGGGGATACAAGTCAGATTAGAATGGGGAGCAGAGGCCTACAGCTCTCCAATTGCTTTTTCAAAGTACTATATATGAGACAAAATTAGAGAATTACATCCCTCTGTTTATTTATTTCCTTATAAACAATAAGGTTTTAGGGAAATAAAATGACTAAAATTTATGGAGCCTTCAAAACTTTCCAATAATCCAGTATTACTATCTGATAGTTACTTTAAAACATGTTTCCAATAGGACTTGTATCATCATTTTTTATAAACCTCCACACCACTGAAAGGTATGCTAAAATGTATTCAGCATGTGTTAGTCTGTCATTATGGAAGCTGTTAAGCATTTATTTTTATAAAAAAATGAGTTATATTTACAATGTAGAACAAGTTTATAAAACTGGTGTGCAAAGTTCATTGTAAAAGGACAACACTATTTGTTTAGAAACAAGCAGCCTGCCCTGTTTACATTTCCTTATTCTCTATATAAATTGAAGATATACTATTTAAAAATAATGCTTTTTAAATAGTAAAATATACAAGAGATTCCTGAGCATAACAAAAATATCTTGAAAATATGTGGCCATCTGAAGTATAAAATAGCAGGTGTAAGAATAGCATGATTGTAAAACTACTGTTTGAAGGCTTAGAAACAGTACAAAATAGCTCGCCTCTTCTGAGTGCATAATTATACATTAGTGCAAACAAAATGTCTCAAAATTTAATGGCTACAAATCTCAAAGATTTGCAGAGGTGCGCAAAACATGGAACTTTTTTAGTGTCATGCGAACCGAGCCCAGTTCTCGGTTGATCCTTTCCAAACGATCTTCCAAGGCTTCCTAAATGAAAACAATGGGGAAAGAGTAATGAGAATTCTACATCACCTTTGTTGGTTCTATTATTACCATAAAACTGACCTTTCTTATAGCAAAAGAGCTAATATAAACATTAAGATTGCGGATTATTTTGCTTTCAACACAAATCGTCTTATTGATTTATTTTAAACTAAACAATATGAATAGGCTTCTCAACCCTTTAAAATAACTGCTGCCCTTTATAATAGTCTCAACATGTCTGGCACATTCAGTACATGGAAATTACAGAAATAGCAGGAGAGCCAACCAGAAAGGGATACTGCTTTGTGACAAAATGAGAACAGTACAAGAGCAGGGCATATGAGATCAGTGCTGTATCCCACTTATACAAAATCAAATAGCTTTCTTTAGACAAAAATTTCTAAGTTAAAAAGGAAAAAAACAGCAGCGTGAGGTAGCACATGCCTGTAATCCCAGCAGCTCGGGAGGATCGCAAGTTCAAAGCCAGAGTGATAAGAGCCCTGGGTTCAGTCCTCAGTACCAAAAAAATAAAAATAAAAATAAATAAATAAATTGGGCTGGGGAAATAGTCAGTGGTAAAGCATTCTGGGTTCAATTCCTAATACCAAAAACAAAAAACAAAACCTGATTTAAATATTGTTTAATTTAAACATGTAAAATACATTTTCTGTATATAGGCACACTTTAAAAAAAAATAAAAACAGAATCAAACTTAAATCAAATTAATATTTCAAAATATTTTTCATTTGAACTTTCTTGCCATGTTTTCAAATATATTTCTACAATACCCTTTTAAATTAATAAACACTATTCCATCACTGATAATATATAAAACCAGGAATTTTTTTTAAAGTTTTAATAGAAATTTAGGTTGCTCAGAATTTTTAATCCCATAAATAAGATTGCAATACATTTCTTCTTCTTTTTTTGGGTACCATGGATTGAACCCAAGTGCATTCTACCACTGAGCCAAATCCCAACCCTTTTTATATTTATTTTGAGACAGGGCCTCGAGATAAGTTGCTGAGGCTGGCTCTGAACTTGTAATCCTCCTGCTTCAGCCTCCTGAGTCACTGGGATTCATAGGCACGCACCACCACGCCTGGAACAATATATTTCTTAAACATCTCTCTTTGCAGTATCTGTAAATACTGCCTTAGGAATCATCCCCAGAAGTAAAAAAGTGTTAGGTTTGAAGAAATGTAAAATTCTGAGGGTTTGGATATATGTCAAATTGTACTCCAGAAGGTTTGAGACAATTTCTACTTCTACCTGCTGTGTATGGAAATAAGCTTTTCTACATCTAAGAATTCATTTTCTAAGAATTCCTGCTAATAAACCAAGCACAGTGGTGCATGTCTATAATCCCAGCAGCTCGGGGGATTGAGGCAGGAGGATCACAAGTTCAAAGCCAGCCTCAGCAAAAGGAAGGCATTAAGTAACTCAGTGAGACCCTGTCTCTAAATAAAATACAAAATAGAGCTGGAGATGTAGCTCAGTGGTTGAGTGCTCCCGAGTTAAATCCCTGGTACCACCGCCCAAAAAATTCCTGCTAATAAAAAGTTGACGTCTTTTTTAAATGTGTACCATTCTTACTCATTTGTGAAGCTGAACATTTCTCATCTCTTTTTTCACTTATGAATCATATGAACATCTTCAGACCCTTTTTTTGCTATCATTTGTTTTTAGTGGATTGAAGCAGCACCGACATGCATGTACAAAAACTAATGCCCTTTAAATATTATTTTAAGAGCCAGAAATAACTTACAATGTTCATTATATAAAAATCAATTAAGTATTTCAGACTGGTTTATAGTAAGAGTATCCAGTTTTCCTTCTGCATTCCTACTAAACTATTTTGAGAGTTTCCTATATTGATTCTTATAAATTATTCAATAAAAAATTTCAGAACATTAAAAAAATGAAAGAAAAAAATGGAAGGTAGAGTACAAGCCTTAGAAAAAGTCCTATTTTCTTTGGTTCTTTCTGGTATCATAGATCAGACTGAAAATGAACTTTAACTGAAGTTAAGGCACTGGAAAGCAATAAGAGATATATACTTGCTGTCATGTATACAACATTACTAAAAGCAGATTTTTTAAAATGTCTCATCATTTCATAATTCTCTTTGAAAAGATGTACAGAAGCCACAATGCCTGCACCACCTCCTGCCTGGTAATGGAATCACAGCTCTTTCTCTAGCTCTTTGCCCTTTTTAACCTCTAAGGTCATTCCAACTGCAAAAATGCAGCTTTTCCCAAGCTTACCACACAGGAAGGGCTTCAAAAAAAAAAAAAAATGTCAGATATGGGCAGAGATGGGATGGCAAACAGAAAATGAGACTTAACATAGGGCATGAGCTTAACAATGTGAAATCTGTTCAAAGGTGCTCACTGGACTGGGGAAGGTAGCTCAGGGGTAGGGCACTTGCCTAGCATGGAAGAGGCCCTAGGTTCCATCTTCAACACCGGAAAAAAAAAAAAAGTAAAAAAAACATAAAACACTGCCATTTGTTCCCAAGTTATAATAACATGAACACCATTTTCCTTAAGCCTAAAGGTAAAATCAGTTTTCACTCCTAAAAGCTAGCATGTAAAGCCCGCACACAGTTAGTTATAAAATGACTATAACCACCAAGAAGTGTCATACTGCTTCAGTGTGCCCTGAGTTTACTGCCCTGGATAAGTGGAGCACCAACTAGCACTAAGCCTCTAACGCAGAGTCCAGCCAGACATCCCACCTGATTTAATCTTGTCTGCAGAGTGATTCTTCCTCCAGGAGAAGGCATTCGGTTTAGTGCTGCCTCAATCTGTTAACACAAAAAATTTAAATAAAAACAAAATTATTCTAATTACTGGAGAGGTTTATGACATAGAATGGAAGGAAAAGACTTCAGCCTTATATTTTCTTCTTGTTCACTGAGGCTTAATGTGAGTTTCCTCTGTCGTCAATTATATTTCTAGTATATGATCTTCAATACTGGGGTAATTCCCTGGGTAGGGGCTGACTCAATAATTCCCTTCTAACTAGTTCTTAGACATAAGCACTTAGTTCAGAGAAATATTTTTTTTTAAATATTTTTGTTAATTTTACCTGGTCCTTTTCTTTTGTAAGTTCATCAAAAAATCGTTCCGTTTCAGCTAGGGTCCTAATTTTTGCCGTATACTCAAAATCATTACCCTGTGGTGTTACTGAAACAGGCTTACACTGTTCATAGCTAACTGACTTATTCTTCTCCCAGGCCGATCTCACAGATGCTTTCTTCATTCCATTTGGCAAGGATTCAGAGCAAGAGTTATGATTACCATGGTTGTCAGTGGCATTTTCTAAATATATTTTTTCTGTCAGAAAACAAAGAAATTTCTTATCAATTTTCCCAAAAGCGAGCAGTGCTTCTTCTCAAAGGAACTCTACAAGCCTTACTCTTAGTTTGTCAACCCTCAAGCTTCCCTAAGTGAAGGGAATTTCCCTTAAGCAAATGCTACATAAATGTAACTGGACTTCAAGTAAACTCAAAGCAACAAAAACAAAAAAAGTTTAAAAACTAAACAAAACTCATCACATTCTAGTGGACATAAACCAACCCTGAACAGTTAACATCCTGAGGGCCTACACGAGTGATTTCATCATATATATTATCTTTTTCCAAACTCAAATACAATGAGAAAAAAGAAATTATCCAAAGCCTAAGTTGCTTATAAATTATAGAGTTTAAAAGTAAAGAGAATAACTGGAAAGTACAGCCCTGGTAATTAAACATTAACATCCCCATATCTCAGTGTCCCAACTTTCCAATGAGAATAACAGCACTGACATAAAATATGAAGCATCACGAATGCTTGCTTTTAGAGACCCTGGAGTAGAAAATATTTGAGCATAGGATATCACGAGACAATATTTAGAACTTGAAAAGATACTGGACTCTTGGAAAAAATGACTACCCCCATAGGTAATAATTTTGTGGGAAAAGATACCTTTTGAGTCGTCTAGAGGAACAAACTGGAGCTGTTTTCTTGGATTATTTCGTTGTAATGTGGACACAGGAACAGTATCTAAATCATCCAAAAGCATATCAAATCTATTGAATGAAGCAAGTTACTTGTGAGAAAAAAATGTTAACTTATTTTCCCTATCTCCACTAGAAAGATGAGCTGGCATCCAGTTAAGTCACATATTTATATAGTTTCTTCTTTAAAAAAAAGCTGGTCACGTGATCTTCTAAAACTGAAATCAAATATTTATTTTCGTTTTTGGTCCTGGGGATTGAACCCAGGGGTGCTCTACCACTGAGCTACATCCGTAGCCCTTTTTATTTTTTTTATTTTGAGACAGAGTCTTTCTGAGTTGCTGAGGTTGGACTAGAACTTATGATCCTCCTGCCTCAGCCTCCTGAGTAGCTGGGACCATGGGCATGTACCATCATTCCTGTTTCAAATGATTATTTTTTAACACAAATTATGTTTACTTACTAGAGCTGGGCATAGTGACACATGCCTATAATCTCAGCATCTCTGGAGGCTTAGGCAGGAGGATCATGAATTCAAAGCCAAACTCAGCAACTTAACGAGACTCTGTCTCTAAATAAAATATAAAAAAGGGCTGGGGATGTGGGCCAGTGGTTATGTACCTCTGGGTTCAATCCCCAGGACTCCCTCCCTCCCCCCCCCCCAAAAAAAATATATATGTATGTATATATATTTACTTATTAGAGACTTAAAGCACTTACCCAAACATTATCTAATTTCATCCCCAACCCCACCGGTAATGAGGATTAAACCCAGGAGCACTTTACCACTGAGCCCACATCCCCAACACTTTTTGAGACAGGGTCTCACTAAGTTGCTTAGGGCCTTATTAAGTTGCTGCAGCTGGCCTTGAACTTGAGATCCTCCTGCCTCAGTTTCCTGAGTCACTGGGATCAAAGGCATGTGCCACTGTACCCAGCTATGTCATCTCATTTTATAACAGTGTTAAATAAGCAGGGTTGGTATCGTTATTACCACTTATTAAGAAGAAAAAACAGGTTCAGTGTGCTTAAGTGACCTCCCGAGACCTTATGGACCAGAAGGCAAGGTCCTCCCCTCCCCAAGGTCTGCCCCTATCATGGAAAGGACAGTTATGGGCTGGGGATGTGGCTCAAGCGGTAGTGCGCTCGCCTGGCATGCGTGCGGCCCGGGTTCGATCCTCAGCACCACATACAAAGATGTCCTGTCCGCCAAGAACTAAAAAATAAATATTAAAAAAAAAAAAAAAAAAAAAAAAGGACAGTTGCTCAAGAGCAGGTGAACTTGTATCTGGTGCCAAGGCCATCCTTGTGCAGCCCATGTTCTAACTCAAATGGTTCAAAAGTTTCCCTGTGTCATAAAACCTTTTCAGAAAGAAAAAAAAAAAACTTGTCCTACATCCAAAAGCTGCATGGGATGCTGAGGTGGTACTAAAAAGTCTAGCAGAAGCAAGTTTACATGGTTAAGAACTGTTTCCTCACACTGTAGTGCTTTATTTTTACTATGACTTTGATGTAAATTATTTAAACCCACAGAACTCCCACTGGTAACTGAAAAATTACTGATAGCCAGAGGCATAAGTTGACATTTTAAAAATCAGTAATGTATGTTCTATTCCAGTTTTGAAGAACTTACCTAATTGGATTGCTTTCGTTTTTGCTAAGTAGATGACTAAATCCCGGAGATAAATTTTCTTTAGGGGATCGCTTTGGACTATAAGCCACAGTCACTGGTGTTAACATAATCTCTCTTTTTGCTAAAAAAGAAAACAGAGAAAATATTCTTTTCCTTTAACATGCATTATGTTAGCAGAACAAAGTTTTTCAGCAGATGACTTTTTCCTAATTTTAAAAAGAATACAATTTCATTGTAAAACTTCCTGAGAGATAAACAAGAATACAAAAAATAAAAATAAATAACCCATAACCCTGACATCTAGAGGGAACCCCTGTTGATGTTTGAGTAAAGCAGAGTACAACATTAGTGCTCTGGTTCCAAGCTGGTTGTCCAGGGTTTTCCAGGTGGACTAAACTAAGATGGGAAAGCAATGCAGAGCAAACACCCCCACAACACCCGCATGGCACTGTGAGGACAAGTCCTCAGCTGTCGTGAGGGAGGAACTGAGCACAGAAATCCAATGCTTCAATTTTAAAACAAACCTGTAAATGGCCAAGATGAGGTGACTGATCCCAAGTAACTGAAGTCAAATATATCAGAGCACTTTCTGTTTTTAGACTAGCATGAACTGATTTGTTGGAATGAATTTTTAATAACTGTCTACTACATCAAAATCTTTGAAGTGGTATCCGTTGCAAACAATTTACTGGACATACAAAAATATCTCACTTAAACTTTAAGAGGGGCTGGGGTTGTGGCTCAGTGGTAGAGCTTTCGTCTAGCACATCCGAGGCCCTGGGTTTGATCCTCAGCACCACATAAAAATAAATAAATAAAATAAAGGTATTATGTCCAACTACAACTAAAAATATATTTAAAAAAAATAAAAAATAAATAAACTTTAAGAGATTTCTTTTTTTGTGAAAGCTCATTTTTAAAATTCAAATTAGTTATACATGACAATAGAATGCATTTTGACACATCATATATAAGTGGAGTATTAACTTCTCATTCATCTGGCTGTACATGATGTGGAGTTGCACAGGTCATGTAATCATATATGCACATAGGATGATAATGTCTAATTCATTCTATTATCATTCCTACCCCCCAGGTCCCCTCCCCTCCTCTCCTCTCTAACTAACTAAATAAACTTGAGATTCCTTAAATGATGCTGGCAGTATCTGTGCAACCAGACAATTTTACTTATTAAAAATTATTGTGTTTAGATATCATGTGCCCAGGGCACTCTACCATTAGGAAATAGCACACATAGCTCAGACATCACTCTCTCCAGCCCAAGAGACACACATGTCTAATCCTTACTTGGAGTACTGGATTTACGATTTGAAGGTGGTAAAGATGATGATCTCTGTGAAGCAGAATTCTGTCTCTTTTGTCTCTGCTGAGCACATTTCTCTGGGGAAGGATTTGCATTGACTGAAGATTCAGTTTGCCGAGAATTCACTAATTCTGTAGCAGACAAATGTGAGGGGGAAAAAAAAATCAGATCAAACCTGTTTTCAGTTACTTGCCTTTATCACAGATGTCACCCTGCACAAGGCCTTCACTGAGTACATGCTCTGCTCACAGCGCCTCTTCTCACCATTACAGCTGTGACAGTTATTAGTAAATGCACCACATTATGATAGAAAAGGACTGATGAAGAAAAACATGGGAGTTAATACTGAATTCATTCTGGCTTCCTGTTTACAACTGGCATTCAAGATGAATTTTCAGGAGTTTATTTTAGGAAGTAGGTTACTAATTTATTTACTAGGAGACACTGCTGTGGGATGCAACACCAAAGACGCAAGGCATGCGGCGGGCCTCAGCACACGGGCCCAGGTAGCTAGAGAAGCACCTGGAACTGTGAAAACGTACAGCATTAGAGATCCTTCTCATCCTTCCTACAGATGCTCAATAACTAAGAAAGGGAAGAAATAATAAGAAACATTACACCTCACTTTGAAAATACTAAATGTCTGACAAAATTTTCTAGTGCATGCATGCAAGACAAAGGTATGTAGACATTTTTCAAGCATCCTTAAGAATGCCACATTAGGGCTGGGTATAGCTCAGTGGGAAATCACCTTCCTAGCATGCATGAGACCCTGAGTTCCATCCCTTATACTACCCCCCCCAAAAAAAAAAGAATGCAACATAAGCCTTTTTAATAATCAAAACATAATATGCAATTTGCTTTATATAAAAAACACATGTTATGCCAGGACTGTGATAAATTATTAAATAGGAGATTCAATTATCTATGAAGTGGGGCTGAAGCAGCAGTTTCATAAGTTGAGTAATACTTCACAGTATTAATTCAAGAATTTAATTTTAAAGAAGGTAATATAATGAGGGAAAAGGGACAATACTTAAATCAATCTGTCTGTTAAACAAGGAATAAACTAAACACTTACTACTTGAGGTATCCTCTTTCTCTGTCTGTGTCCCCCAATTTTTAAGTATCTTTTCTTCATCAAGTTCTTTTAATGCTTTCATGATCGGTGTGTCTGAAGTCTCTCTTTGTTTTTTAATCAAGAAGCTTGTTGGTGAACTTCCAGGAGAAGAATCCTTTTCAGGAGGAGAATAATACCTTAAATAATAATTGTAATTATAAGTGCTATGGACTGAATACCTGTATGTATCTGCCTCACCCCCAAATGTACAAGTTGAAATTCTAATCTTAAGTGATGGTACTTAGGAGTGAAGCTTTGGGGGAGGCAATTAGGCCTAGATGAAGTCACAAGAGTGGTACCTTCATGATGGGATTAATACCCTCATTTAAAAAAGAGAAGGAAACATGACAGCGCTCTCCCTGGCCAACACCAAGGGCAGGCTATATGCAGACGCCCATGGGAAGAAGGCCCTCTCCAAGCCTCTGATATGCAGCTCTCTGATCTTGCCTTGCAGCCCCCAGAACTAGAGAAATAAACGTTCTAAATTCTTGGAGTAGATCAAGCGAGGTCTACACACAGTTCTGGGTCGTTAAGGGATTAACAGAGAGCAGACAATTATACTGCACAATGAGTACATACGCTTTTTAAGAATATTTTTTAGTTGTAAATGGACACAATTCCTGTATTTATTTATCTTTATGTGGTGCTGAGGATAAAACCCAGTGCCTCATGTGGGCTAGGCAAGTGCTGTTCCACTGAGCTACAACCTCAGCCATGAGGTTTCATGCTTTATAATGAAAATGCTTAAAACTGATCGTGCATATATTGCTTCCCGATCCTTTAACATCCTGCACATGCAGAAATACATTTGTCTAGCACCCTGAGGGACAGGGCTGAGCTTATTCATGGGGGCTTGATCTCTGGATCTCTTGACAGAACCTGCAAGCCCACGCTGTGTCCCTGAGCACAGGCAGGGAATCACTGCAGAGCCAAGGAAGAAAAATTAGCCTGGCAAAGTAAGATTAAAAACTAGGTCATTGAAATTAAGACATTAAAGAACCAAAGAGTTGGCTCTTGGGCTAGGGATGTAGCTCAGTGGTGGAGCTCTTGCCCAGCATGCTCAAGGCCCTGTATTCCATCCCTACCACTGCAAAAGGGATGAGGGTAGGGGAGAGATGGCTCTTTATAGCTTTCTGAACATGTAAAGGCAACCAAGTCTCTAAGAAAACATAACATTTGTAAATGGGCCTTGTGGCAGTTATTTTACCCAGGAACATAGGTTCCCTCCAGCTGATTATCCACCTTCCTGTCCTGGATGTCCAGAGGCTGGCCAGTGAAGATGGAATACTCTGCGCCTGGTATCAGCCACTTCCGCCTGCTGACATCTGAGGTTGCCAGCGTGCTATCAGAACAAGAAATGCTGAGAGGTTTGCACTTGGCTTTAGACCACACTTCAACTTAGACTGCACACATGTCGATCTGCTTTCAGGCTGTATTCACATATTTGTACAATGACTTAAAAACCACATGTAATAATCTATTTTAGATACATGAATTCTATTCTATGATTTTAAGATTTGGGTTTCTGTTACTCTTGTATATTCCTGAATTGCAGTTAAGATTCAGGTACTCAGAGCTCTCAACCGCCCTTGGCTGCCACCTAGCACACCCCACAGCCTCTATATCTCTGCAGCAATCAAGGTAAGGAGATAAAGCAGAGTGTCCCTGTTCCTTCAGACCAATGTTGTTCAATTGAATTTTCTACGAAACCAGAAATGTTCTCTTTTGCACCATCCAGTACAGCAGCCACAAATCACATGCTGCTACTGAGCACCTGAAGAGTAGCCAGTGAGACCAAGGAGCTAATTTAAAATGTTAACTTTAGCTGGGCACAGTGATACAACATGACCTCAATTCCAGCGACCTGGGAGAGTGAGGAAGAAGGATCTCCAGTTCAAGGCCAGCCTCACCAACTTAGCTAGACCCTGTCTCAAAATAAAAGGGTTGGGAATGTACCTGTGGCAAAGTGCCCTTGGATGCAACCCCCAACAACCTCCCGCCCCCTGCCCCCAAGAAAAGTTAATTTAATCAATTTCAATAGTCACATGTAGCCATCAGCACAACTGTACTGAGCAGCACACATGTTCTAGATTATAACTGTCTCTTGTGTTATCATGAAAAACCTGCTTGTCTGAGGTTCACACCATTATATGTTAACCCCAAGCCCTTTGTTAGACTTTGAACCTGTCCCATCTGCTCCATACCTACTGCTGCCCTCACACTAGGTGACTTCAGGAGCTGTCCTTGACTCTTGTTCAGTGGTTTGACCCTCTACTTAGTCATGCACTTTGGAGGACATCACTGGACTCTGTCGTCACCAGAGACCACACCCCCCAGAAAATACCAACACTCCAGACTCCTAACCTGGGCATCACTGCAGCACTGGCCCCCAGCCCTAGACTCCTTCCTATTCGCCATTCCTCCCAGCTCCTCTGTGTCTGCTCTAGAGTCCACATGATTACTCAGGGCCTTGACTTCCTGCCCCTTGCACCTTCCATCACACCATCTGACTGGCAGCAAATCCACCCTTCTAAGTGAAGGTGAGCTCATTTTCAATCCACACCTCCACAGCTGAGTGCTGCTGGAAGTCACCACTGTGCAGATGCACTATCGCCATCTCAGCTGGACCACTGGCACATGCTGGCCACATGCCTTTCTGTCATCAGTGAGCTCTAGGCCTCCAAGGTGACTGTACACCGTTCTTGTCTCCACCTACCTCAAAACTCCTAACCTTCAGCCTCCTGAACCTCAGGCCCAACTTCAAGGAGAAAACAAACCCTGAGACAAGAGCGCCCTCTCACTCTTCCTCTCTGCCCTTTCACAGCAACAGGAGTTACCTCTTACCTGTTTCCCTGTCAATACTCAGTCAGTGCCGGGAGCCTAACCCAGGGTCTTCAGCATGCCAGCAAGCACTGCCACCGAGTCACTCGAGTCTGCCCTGAGCTACATCCCAACCTCTTTATTGTTGTTTATTTTGAGTCAGGTTCTCATAAGTTGCCCAGGCTGGTCTAGACCTTAGTATTCTTCTGCCTCAGGCTCCTGAGTCACTGGAATAATAGGCATGTGCCAACAAGCCTGGATCCTCCTATGTTTAAATTAAGAAATACTCAAACATTCTTAGAAAATTACAAAGAATACTACACAACAAGCAGCCACCTACCCACTCTCAGTTTCAACAGATGCTAAGATCTTGCCATATTTGTTTTTCATTGTAAGACATAAGATTTTATATATATAGCTGCATTTAAATAAGGGCATAATGTATACATTCTTTTAACACTGCTCTTTCTACTCACCATTATGTTTGTGATTTATCCATGTTTATATATATAGCTTTATCATTTTACTCACTTATCTACAGTATGAATGCAAGCTATTTATCCTCTTTCCTGGCTATGACAGTTTAGTTTCTAATATATCACCATTCAACAATGCTACAATTAACACATGTAAAAACTGATCTAAGGTAAATAATTAAGAACGGAAATGTGCTGGGATGGGATTGTGGCTCAGTGGTAGACTGCCTGCTTAGCATGTGTGAAGCACTGGGTTTGATCCTCAGCACCACACATAAATAAATAGGTAAAATAAAGATACATCAACAACTAATAAAAATATTTTTAAAAAAAGAATGGAAATGTGCTGCATTTCTATACATAAGTGATGAATCTACTGCAAGAGAAATTAGAACAGAGACTCTGTACATAATAGAAGAAAAAGTAGGCCCAAATCTTCATCATGTCAGCTTAGGACCTGACTTCCCTAACAAGACTCCTACAATCAAGAATCAATAAATATCCCATTCACAATAACTGTGAAAAAAAAAATAAAATACCTGGGAATAAATCTAAAAAAAAAAAAAAAGAGGTGAAAGACCTCTACAATAAAAACTACAGAACACTAAAGAAATTTAAGAAGACCTTTGAAGATGGAAAGATCTCCCATGCTCTTGGATAGGCAGAATTAATATAGTCAAAATGGCCATACTACTGTTATACAGATTTAATGCAATTCCTATTAAAATCTTAATGACATTCTTCATAGAACTAGAAAAAAGTAATCATGAAATTCATTTGGAAAAATAAGAGACCCAGAATAGCCAAAGAAATCCTTAGCAAGAAGAATGAAGCAGGAGGCATCACAATATAAGAACTTAAACTATACTAAAGAGCAACAGTAACAAAAACGGCATGGTATTGGCACCAAAATAGACATGTAGACCAATGGTACAGAATAGAAGACAAAGAGATAAACCCACACAATTATGGTTATCTCATACTAGACAAAGGCACCAGAAACATTCTTTGGAGGAAAGATACCCTATTCAACAGATGGTGCTGGAAATCCATATGTAGCAAAATGAAATTAAACTTCTCTCTTTCACCCTGCAAAAAAATCAACTCAAAGTGGATCAAAGACTTAGGCACTAGAACAGAGACCCCGTGCATAATAGAAAAAAATAGTAGGCCCAAATCTTCATCATGTTGGCTTGAAACCTGACTTTCTTAACAAGACTCCTAAAGCGCAAGAAGTAAAATCAAGAATCAAAATAACCCAATCAATAAATGGGCTAAGGAATTGAACAGGCACTTCACAGAAAAAATACAATCGATCAACAAACATATGAAAAAATATTCATCATCTCTAGCAATCAAAGAAATGCAAATGAAAACTACTCTAAGATTTTTTCTCACTCCAATCAGAATGGCAATCATCAAGAATACAGGCAACAATAAATGTTGGCAAAAATGTGAGCAAAAAAGTACACTCATACATTGCTGGTAGGGCTGCAAATTGACGCAACCACTATGGAAAGAAGTATAGAGATTCCCCAGAAAACTTGAAACGGAACCACCCACTCCGTGATTTATACCCAAAGGACTTAAAATCAGCATACTACAGTGACACAGCCACATCGATGTTTATAGCAGCTCAATTCACAATAGCCAAACTATGGAACCAATCTAGATGCCTTTCATCAGATGAATGGATAATGAAAATGTGGTACATATACACAATGAAATATTACTCAGCCTTAAAGAAGAATGAAATCATGGCATTTGTAGGTAAATGGATGGAACTAGAGACTATCATGCTAAGTGAGATAAGCCAATCCCCCCCCCAAAAAAAGAAGATGTTTTCTCTGATCAGCAGATGTGATCCATAGTGGGTGGGGGACAGGGAAGAATGAGAGAACTTTGGATTGTGCAGAGGAGAGTAAGGGGAGGAATGGGATTGTAGGATGAGAAGGACAGAAGAATGAGACACACATCATTACCCTATATGCATGTATAATTACACTACTGGTGTGACACTGCACCATGTAGAGCCAAAGGATGGAGAAGTTGTGCTCCATTTGTGTACAATATGTCAAAATGCAACCACTACAGAAAACCTAATGTCATGTGTAACTAAGTAGAATTAAAAAAAAAAAATGGAAATATGGAATTTGGGGTGTATACATCCTCTTCACTCTTCCTGGCTATTGTCAATCACTCTCCAGATGAGTTACACTGACATCCAGTCAACCACTAGTTTGAGTTCCTATTTCTTCACATCTCTGCCAGACTTTGGGATGATCAGGTTGTACATCTGGCCAGTCCATTAGCAAAGACCCTACCCTATTATTGTTCCAATTTGTACTTTCCTCCCTATTCATCACAATGTGCATCTCTTCACTTCTATTAGCCATTTAGGTTTCTTTTTCTGTAAATTGCTTGTTGATATTCTTTTACCATTTTTTTACTGAGGAGGTTGTATTTTTTCCTATTAGGCTGTAAAAATTCTTTTATATTTTGAATGCTCATTCTTTATTGGTTCCTGTTCACTTAAAATAATAAAATATTGCAAGCATGCATAGACATGCAGGCAATACTCACACAATGGCCATCCAATATTATGAAATCTTAATTATTTGTTATATATCCTTTAGATTTTTTTTTCCAGCTCTAGGGATTGCACACAGGATCTCATACATGCTAGGCAAACGCTTTACCTTGAGCTACATTCCCAGTTCCTATTCTTTTATTTTTGAGACACGGTCTCCCTAAGTTGTCCAAGCTGGCCTTGAACTTGAGATTCTCCTGCCTTACCTTAGTAGCTGAAATAGCAGGGGTGCACCTACACTTGGTCCCTTTACACGTTTACATAGAGAGACACTACAGATACAATTAAAGCCCCTGGGGACCCCCTACAAACTCATTCTTCTCTTCCTGCAAAAAAAAAACACCATTTATTACTAAATGTGTGCTCAGCATGTTTTGATACTTTTACTACATTTGTGTGAACCCGTAAGATACACACAGAACTGTTACACATGCTAAAGTACACAAAAACATCCTACATCAGGCTGTGGGTATAGCTCAATGGTAGAGTGCCTGCCTAGGAACACGTATATCCTCAGTTGGACTTGTAGCACCTCAAAAAGAAAAACATCATAGCTATTCAACCTTGGTGCAGTTGTGCAAAAGCAAGTACACTCAATAAATGAATGACCTTGCTTACATTCCAATGAAAACTTATTTACAGACACTGACATTTGAATTCCATAAATTTTTCACATATCACGAAATATTTTTTCCAAACATTTAAAATGTACAAACTAGGGGCTGGGGATGTGGCTCAAGGGGTAGCGCGCTCGCCTGGCATGTGTGCGGCCCGGGTTCGAGCCTCAGCACCACATACAAACAAAGATGTTGTGTCCGCCAAAAAGCTAAAAAATAAATATTAAAAAAATTCTCTCTCTCTCTCTCTCTCTCTCTCTCTCTCTCCACTCTCTCTTTAAAAAAAATAAAAATAAAATGTACAAACTATTCTTCAGGATTCGGCCTGAAGATTGTAGTTTGCCAACCTCTGTCACATGGTATAGTGTCATCTATAAATATATTACAACACATGGATATTCCAGCTGTTGGACATTTAGATTGTTTTCATTCACTTTTTAATACACTTCAAATGGGTTTGACTTCTATCACTCCTTCCCAAATCTAGGCACTAGCAGCCTCTACCTTACAAATCCAATAGATGCTGTCAGTCCTCACACTGCTGAACCTCTGGGCAGCACTCGGCACCAGGAACTGCTTCAGTCTTCCCAGTTTTCAAGCAGCTCTTTCTCATTCCTTTGCCAACTCCTCTACCCAGTATCAAAACAGGTTTCTTCAGGGTTTTTTGCTGAGCTCACTTTTCACCAAACACACTCAATTCCTATCCATCCTGTAGCTGCAGCACCACCCAGAAAAAAATGGCTCAATATTCACAATTCCAGCCTAAGACCTTACTTTTAGCTCCAAACCTAAGTTTATAATTACCACTGGGTGTAGTGGCACACACCTGTAATCCCAGAGGCTTGGGAGACTGAGGCAGGAGGATCACAAGTTCAAAGCCAGACTCAGCAACTTAGTGAGGTCCTAAGCAAATCAGTGAGACCCTATCGCTAAATAAAATACAAAAAAGGGCTGGGGATCTGGCTCAGTGGTTGAGTGCCCCTGGATTCACTCCCTAGTACTATATATATATATATATATACACACACATATATATAAAAAAATTACCCACTTGATGCTTGGAATCTATGTGAATCTCAAACGAAAATATTCACAATGGAAATTCTGATCCCTTCCCTAGTTTTGTATGTGTCACCTTTAGGTGTTCAATAAGAAATCAAGAGCTATTCTGAGCCTTCCCTTCTTGCCTTGCCAGCCAATTCACAACCATGTTCTGTGGATTTCATCTCCAGAATCTCTCATGCCTGTGGTTACCATCCAGTTAACATCACCTCTCCTAATGCTGCAGTAGCCTAACTAGTCTCCCCGTTTCTACTTTTTTTTTTTTTTTTTTAGTTTTAGGTAGACACAATATCTTTATTTTATTTTTATGTGGTGCTTAAGATCAAACCCAGTGCCCCGCACATTCCAGGCAAGTGTGCTACCTCTTGAGCCACATCCCCAGCCCGTTTCTACTCTTTTTTCCTCTCCATCCTTTCCTCATGGCAGAAATATTTAAAAAGTAAAAATCAAATGACATTATTTTACCACTCAAAAATCTTCTAAGCCTAAGCATGGTAGCACATGCCTGAAATCCCAGCAACCTGAAAGGCTGAAGGCTGGAGATGTAGCTTCCAGGCTGTGTGAGGTCCTGGGTTCATCCCCAGTACCACTGGGGTGGGGATAGAAAAAATAATACTCTCAGATTATAGCAATGCTAATTCTGAAACAACTAAGAAAAATACATACAACCTAATGCAGATTCATCTTTACAAGTTCTGCCATTAACACAAGAATAAGATGTTTGGAGTTTTAGGGCTAAAAGACCTTTTCAGGTGTTATCTTAGTTTTACAGAAAATAAAACTGAACTTTAAGGGGAAAAAAAAAATGTGATTGCCTAAGGTCCCACAGTTGAAGAGTCAAGTACAAAATATTCCAAATTTCCTTTTCCCAACTTGAACCTACTCTTTCCTTACTTTAGTAAATGCCTATGTGTAGGAACACTGACATTATCTAATCATTAACTTTTTATACACATCTAAGGTTTTTTGTTTGTTTGTTTGTTTTTTGGTTCAGGGATTCAACTTTGGTACTGGGGATTGGTGAAGTAGCACTTTACCACTGAGAACATTCCTAGCCCTTCTTATTTTTCATTTTGAGACAGGACCGAGTCACTGGGATTATAAGAATATGGCACTGAGCCCAGCTTATACACATCCAAGTTCTATAAGGATATTCAACCATGGCTTTCTTATGATTTGGACAACGAGCTCCTCATTTTAATAGAAGTGTGCACCTACTTCTAGCTTTACCAAGATTAAATAAAATAACTTACTTGGCACGTGAGGGTCTCACATGAGTTTTAGAATTATGACGAAGACTTAACATATTTTCATGCTCTACTTGCTTCACTTGAGCTTCAAGTTTTGAGATTGTCCTAATTCAAAAGCAATAAAATAAAATAAGTACATTTCAACAAATTGAAAATATGCTCAACTACAGTTACTTACAAAGCAGTCCCTCTTGGAAAAGATTACAAAAGAGTTGTCTGTCCATAAACCTTTTTCATGGTAAATTACCATCATTAAACTTTTAAAAGCTGAACAAAATCAGGAAAAAAAGAGAGAAAAACAAGTACAAAAATGCTCAAAGGAACATTTAATATACTACAACTAAATAAAAATGGAACAACAAATAGATTTAATAGGGCAAGTAAAAAAATTTATATAATTTTGATTACAAATCAAAAATGTGCTGGGTATAAATGAAATAAAAATAAATTAAAATATCAAATAAACTGCATCCTAATGTTTTTGACAAATATGTATTTGTGCATGCAGAGTATAATAGATAACAGTTTCACAAACATGGAAACAGAAAACAGCTATTGAAAAGAACTTTCTAAGCCAGATGTGATGGTACACACCTATAATCCCAGCAACTCGGGAGGCTAAGACAGGAGGATTACAAATTCAAAGTTAGCCTCAGCAATTTATCGAGGTCATAAGTGAGATTTTGTCTCAAAAAAAAAACCACATAAAAAGGGGTGGGGCCTGGAGATGTAATTCAGTGGTTAAGCGCCCCTAGGTTCAATACCCATTAACCCCCCAAAAACTCTGGAATTTTAAAAAAAAGGCCAAGGGAAAAATACCCCAACAACTCTCAACCTATAAGCAGTTTGTCTCATTTGTACCCTGTTCAGAATAAAAGTCCATTTCAAGTTTACCAGCAGAAGAATACTCAGGTCAGTTTATTATTTCCAGGATATCCTTGCCTTCTGTTTTTTTAAACTTTGTATATGTCTTTAAACCTGAATTCTCACCCACCCTGATGCAAGGAAGGCTTGAGAAAGAATAGCTCTTAGGGCTGATGCTTATCCCAATCTGATAAGGAAGCTCTCACTGAATGAACGGCTCACAGGGCAGTCAGGAAGATAAGAACTCTAGACAGCTGTCTGTCCTCCTCTGTGAGGAGTCCTTCATACAGCAGCAACATTTCTAAATGAGGGACATTATTTATATCCAAACACAAACGTAAAATATGCTCTAAAGTCAATTTAGATATTTCTAATCATTTGCAATATGGATTATTTATGATTCTTTTCCTATTTAATTAAGCAAGTCAGATTAATATAGTCTCTAAACTGGGTCTTTCTGAAAGTGGATCACCACAAACTTGGTTGAAACTTTCATTTTCTTTTTGGATCACAAAAATAAGTGAGCCAGCATGGTGGCACATAGTTGTAATCCCGGCAACTCAGGAGGCTGAGACAGGAGGATCACTAGTTCAAGGTCAGCCTCAGCAACTTAGTGAGACCCTGTCTCAGAATTTAAAAGGGCTGGGATGCAGCCTATTGGTAAGAGTACCTGGGTTTAATTTCCAGTGCCAAAAAAACCCAAAACCCATGATCACTAACTGCTTCCTGAAGTTCTTTTCAGAGGTTAAATATCACTCAGATCTTACCAATGCTAGAAAACACTCAATGTCTGGGGTAGTGCTCATCCCTGAGGCTCAATCACCACCAGTACTGTTCTAATCACTTCAAAATCTCTGGCTAAGGGAGCTGGGGTTGTGGCTCAGTGGTAGAGCACTTGCCTTGCATGTGTGAAGCACTGGGTTCGATTTTCAGCACCACATAAATATAAATGAATAAAATAAAGGTCCATCAACAATTAAAAAAAAAATCTCTGGCTAAGATCAAATGTATTCCATGTCAGGAGAAAGACTAGGATAAAGCTAGTTTTCAAACTATTTAAAAATCCTCAAGAAAACAAAAATTCTTTAATACAGACATGTAAAGGAACAATTAGAGGTATTTTACCTTTTCAAATCAGAAATCTGAGTATGTGCATCAAGAAGTTTATTCTCAGTTATATTTAATGTATCCTGTGAAAATAAAGAAAAAATTCAGATAACTGAAGTATTCAGATGTATCCTTTAAAATGCATGAGACAAACCTAAGACCAAACCAATTATACAAATTATACAAATATTCCCAAGGTCAGTCTCTGCACACGCTACAGTTTTAATGAGACCTTAGGAGGCTAACAGGAGGATCATGAGTTCAAAGCCAACCTCAACAAATCAGTGAGACCCTGTCTCTAAATAAAATACAAAAAAGGGCTGAGGATGAGGCTCAGTGGTTAAGTGTCCCTGGGTTCAGTCCCTGGCACCATAAATAAATAAATAAGGGCTAGAGCTGTAGCTCAGGGGCAGAGTGCACCAATGCAGACAACAAAGGGGGAAGGAGACAGAGCCCAGATCACAGGCCTACAACAGCACTTCAGTATGCCAAGTCAAGTTCATTATGCTTTGTCAAATTAGAAACAATCCCAATGGATGTATTTTAACCACAAACATAACTAAGAGCTTAATAGAATGATAAAACAGATCCCTGCAGTGATGAGGTTTGACATATAGTGTGAGTCATCCCTGAACCCCTAGAGCCCTTGGCAGGATGGAGGGGCTGTGGAGCTACATGGGCCTTCATACTGACCTTATTCACAACCCTGCATTCCAGGCAACAGAAACTCCTCAACTCTACCTTCAGTACATTGTGAGATTTCACTGAATTCCTATATGCAGATGCCAAACAGATCTCTAATTAAGAATTCAGATAAAATGAATAAACTCATACCCACAAAAAAACACTCATGTTTTGAAAAATTAAAACTATAAATGTAAACTGTGTGGATACATGTATTTATTTTTATTTTATTTTTTATTTTTGGTGGTATTGGGGATCATGCATGTTAGGAGGGCACTCCACCATTGAGCTATATCCCAGGCCTTTCTATTTTATTTTGCAACAAGGTCTTGCTAAGTTGGCCTCCAACTTCTGAGCCTCCTGCCTCAGGCACCACCATCTGCCCCCTAGGAGCTGGGATTACAGGTATAACCCACCACGCCCAGCTGTAAACAGTACTAAAAATTATTTGCATCTACATGGAAGTTATATTCTTCTAAACAATTTCACCTCCACTCATCACAAAGGCAAGAGCCAGTCAGCAAATGTCTGTTAAATTAATTAAACAAACTTGTGGGTTAAGTAGGGCAGACATTTGGGGGAAAAAAAGGGTATCCACCCAGAGAGAGTAAGTAGTTCGGTTCAAACAGTATGGGGTGAGGAAGGGAGGAGTGGAGGAGGAGGACAGGCTCCTTAGTCCCCAGGACGGGGCTCTTGCCTCAAATGAAATTCAGGACAGGCAGCCTCACCCATTACCTTTACTCGTCTGTGTTCTTTTCCAAGGGACTCATACTCTCCTAAGAGCTACAAGGAAAAACAAAGAACTGCATCACAAAATTAAACATCACAACATCAATTAAGGGATAGTGTACAAAATAACAGCCCACACCCTCCCAAAATGCCAATGTCATGCAGATAGAGGACTACACAGAATTGGTGATTCTGGTAAAGGCAATACAGAAACAATTCCTGATTTACGCTTGTGAGTTTTCTTTAAGTTTGAAATTTCAAAAGTAAAACAGGGCTGGGGCTGTAGCTCAGGGGCAGAGCACTTGCCTAGCACGTGTGAGGCACTAGGTTCCATCCTTAGCACCACATCATTTATGAACAAATAAAATACAGGTATTCTGTCCCTCTACAACTACAAAAAATTTTTTTTAAAAAGTAAAAATAAATGACAATAATGATGATGATGATGATGATGTTAGTTAAGGCCTTTTAAGTATTTTCAAAAGTAGAATCTATACTAATCTTGGGGCTGGGGATGTGGCTCAAGCAGTAGTGCGCTCGCCTGGCATGCGTGCGGCCCAGGTTCAATCCTCAGCACCACATACAAACAAGGATGTTGTGTCCGCCGAAAACTAGAAAATAAATATTAAAAAATTCTCTCTTTCTTTAAAAAAAAGGAATCTGTACTAATCTTTAAAAATATATATATATTTATTTATATTTATTTATTTATTCAACTATCTTCAATTATCTATCTTCAACTAAAATTAAAATACATATATATATATATATATATATATATATATGTATTTCCAATAACTTTATTTATTTTTATGTGGTGCTAATTGAACCCAGTGCTTCACACATGCTAGGCAAGCACTCCACCATTGAGCTACAACCCCAGCTTTTCTGCATTTTTTTTTTAATTTTTTTGAAGTTGTAGATGGACAGAATGCCTTTATTTTATTTGTTTATTTTTATGTGGTGCTAGGGATTGAACCCAGTGCCTCACACATGCTAGGCAAGTGCTCTGCCACTTAGCTACAGCCCCAGCCCCTGCATTTTTTAAAAATATTTATTTTTTAATTGTAGTTGGATACAATAACTTTATTTTATTTATTTATTTTTATGTGGTGCTGAGGATCAAACCCAGGGCTTCCCACGTGCTAGGGGAGCGCTTTAACACTGAGCCACAACCCTAGACCTATACTGTTGTTTTTTAGAATTGTTACACATTATATTTTGCTGCTTGTTCAATAGAGTAAAAGCAGAGTGCTGAAAGTTTCACATAGCTAAGTAATTTTTTTAAAAAGACATAGGTGAGGGGCCTCATTTTGTTAAGTTGGCCTTAAACTTCTGAGCCTCCTACCTCAGTCACCACCTTCTGCCCCTCAGAAGCTAGGATTACAGGCATGCCCCACCACGCCCAGCTATAAACAGTACTAAGAATTATTTGCATCTACATGGTACGTTATATTCTTCTAAACAATTTCACCTTGGCTCATCACAAATGCAAGAGTTGTGGGGTTGTGGCTCAGTGATAGAGCGCTTGCCTTGCACACATGAGGCACTGGGTTCGAATCTCAGCACCACATATAAGTAAAAAAAAGGTCTATCAACAACTAAAAATATAATTTAAAAAAAAAGGAAAAAGAGGCACATCTAAACCTATCAGGAATCAGATTACTTATGTACCATAATAATCTGCAAAAAGACATTAAGAAAAACAAGAAAAAGATACAACCTACAACCATCCAGTATCAATGTTAAATAAATACATTTCTGTGGGAGACCAACCTTACACGTGACTGGGTTACACTCCCCGGCCAGGTGCTGAGGTGCTCAGTGGCAGAAATGTGGCAGAGCTTTCCCCACCCTTCTTGGGTCCGAAGGTAGGTGTCTTGCTACAGCCCCATGGGTGAAGCTATGCTCACTTGTTCCTTTGTAATATAACCCCTTGCCCTGTTTAGGATAGAATCTTCCATGGAAGTGCCTTGTGTGTGTCCCCTTCTCTTACTGTGCCCTTGGATGTGGTCTACCCAGGTGTCAGTCAACCTGCTGACAGTGGACATCATGAAGATAGACTCAGCCCTCTGAAACCTGACCCCTTGCCTCATTTGAATAGCTTCTCCTCAATAAAAGGGGTCAGTGTGTGCTCTCGCTCTCTCTCTCTTTCTGCGGACCCTTACGTCAGAGGAGCCGTCACAGCGACCCCAAAGAAAAAGGTATTTGTGTCTCTTGTGTGGTTATTTCATGCAGCCCAGTTAGCCCAGTTTAACTGGAGTGACCCCTGAGCCTTTTAGTCTTGAGAACAGAGAAACCCAGCACATTTCGGGGGAGGGTGTGTTTCTGCAGTACTAGGGACTAAACCTTGAGCCTTATGTGCACCAAGCAACTGCTCTACCACTGAGCTATGCCCTTAAACCAAGAAATCTAAATTTTAAGTAAAATTAAATCAAAGTGAAAAAATTCAATCCAACTTGTTCTAAATCTGGTTCACAATATTTTACTCTGCCAGACAGACGTCATGATAGCTCAAAAGCTGGTCTGCTAAAGACAGACGGTGTGGGAGCAAGGCCAGCATTTTAGAGCTCTGACTTTCTGCTTTAAGACAAGACCCAGCTGCCTGCCCAGGAGGGTATAAACCTACAGCTATAGCCAAGGTACCTCAAACCAAAATAAACTTGGAAAAAGTCCTAATAATAGCTTGTATACTACAAGACTTAAGTAAACCACTTTTAGCCAACCATGTAATTAAGTTACCATTTTTTGTTACTCACATCTTGAAACATTTTGTTTTCTTGTTTTAGTCTTGCTTCTTTATCATCTGAAAGTTTGTAAGCATTCTCAAATGCTTCTTCTAAATCCTGCAGCCTAGATTTTAGTCGAATGATGGTATTGTCTTTTTCTTTATTGCTTGTTCTCATTTCTTCAATTCGTTCCTGCAAAATTTTGGAGGCACTGTTGGCTGCACTAAAGCGTTCTCTCAAATCATTCTACAAAGTAAAGACCAAGATAAATTATTTTAAATGAAAAAATAGATGTTTCAATAGCAGCTAGAAATTAATGCCCATGCATTAAAATATAAAAAATTCAAAACATACAAATGGAAATTAAAAAATAGTATTTTTCATACCCTGAGATGAAGAGACCAGAAAGTATTACTCTACTAGAATAGCTTCATGAAGTTATCACAAGCAAAGCTACTGTCTGAGGTTAAGGACTCACTAAGATAGCAGTGCCTCTAGATCACCTCAATGACAAAACTGTCACAGCCACAAAAGAGATCATTCTGTACATATAGCTGGAATATGTTGCCCAGCCTTAATACTTGGGGGAAGGATTTCTTACTCCACTGTCACAACGTGAAAACAGAAAACTCAAAATGCATTTAATATGTTAATATTCATTCAACAATTATTTCTGGAATACCCACTATGTGCCAGGCAGCAGAGCACTATAAATGTAAGATTAAAGCTGGATATGATGGCATATGCCTGTAGTCCTGGCTACTTAGGAGGCTGAGGCAGGAGGATCACCTGAGCCCAGGAATTTGAGACAAGCCTAAAGCAACACTGAGAGATCCCAACTCAAAACAAGATTATAGAGAAACAAAATAATGCCTAACTTTGTCAAGCTTACACTCAAGAAGACAAAAATAACTGGGAAAACAGAACAAAACAACAACAAAAAACCATCAAAGACAGAAACAAGCTGGGTGCAGTGACACATGCCTGTAATCCCAGCAGCCTGGTAGGCTAAGAGAGGAGGATCTTGAATTCAAAGCCAGCCTCAGCAACTTAGTGAGGCCTTAAGCTAAGCAACTCAGTGAGACCCTGTTTCTAAATAAATTATATAAAAGGTCTAGAGATATGGCTCAGTGGTTAAGCGCCCCTGGGTTCAATTCCTGGTACCAAACAAAAACAAAAACAAAAAAAAAGAAACAACATACAGAACAAAATGCACATTTTTTTTTTTTTTAATGTTTCCAGGGAATGAACCCATGGGGCTTAACCACTGAGCCACATCCCCAGCTTTTTTTTTTTTTAATTTAAAAACACAGTCTCAATAAATTGCTTAGGGCTGTGCTGTTACTGAGGTTAGCTTTGAACTTGCGATCCTCCTGCTTCAGCCTCTGAGCCGCTGGGATTACACTGCTCAGTTTCACACAAATTTTGTTTATAAGCTAATATACAAAAGAATAAAATTTGGTAATACAGGAGAACAGAATGTAATTTAAGAGTAAAGTTTATGCACTTCAAATTACATATTCAAAAAAACCAAAACTAAAAATATGCACATAAACTCTTGTCCACAGGACTGCGTGTGTAGCCCAGTGATAAGGTATATGTTTAGCATACTCAAAGCCTTGGATTCAATCTTTCATCTCCAGCACACATACACACATACACATCACACACACAAATCCTGAACACAAACATTCATAGCAATTTCACTCATAACCAGCCAAAAGGGGGAAAGAATCTAAATATCAGTCACATGATGAATGAATGAACAAAATGTGATGCATCGATATAATGGAATATTAATCAACTATAAAAAGGAATAAAGTCCTGATACATGCTACAACCTGGATGAGCCTAAGTCAAAGAAGCCAGACACAAAAGTCTATGATGCACTCACATTAGTGTTCAGAACAGGCAAGTCACAGAGCAGAGCAGCTGTGGCCAGGGACTGAGGAGAGCACTGGGGGCAATGGCTAAGGATGTTCTATAATGGATTGTGGTGATGGTTCTACAATTCTGAATATATTAAACCACTGAACTGCACATTTCGAAAGAATGAGTTCTATGGTATGCAACTTACATCCCAATTAAGAAATAAGCTTTAGGGCTGGGGATATAGCTCAGTTGGTAGAGTGCTTGCCTCACATGTACAAGGCCCTGGATTCAAGCCCCAGCACCAAAAAAAAAAGAGGAATTTTAAAGGGTAAAGTAGAACTCAAAATGCAAACTTAATAAGTTTTGTTTTTTTTGTACTGGAAAATGAACCCAGGGACACTTGACCACTGATCCACATTGCCAGCCCTTTTTTGCATCTTTTTTAGAGACAGGGACTCACTGAGTTACTTAGGGCCTCACTAAGTTGTTAAGGCTGGCTTCAAATTCATGATCCTCCTCTCTCAGATTCCCAAGCTGCTGGGAATACAGGCATGTGCCACTGCTCAGCTCATAAGTGATTCTTAAGGAAAAGATACAGGTAAGCAGGGTTATCATAAAACTAATCATATGTCTCTGGAGTTCAGTTAATAACTAGTTTTTTTTTTTTTTTAACATTAAGCCCTAGAACAATCATGAGAAAAAAATAATACTTACCACTTCTATTTCCAACATGTTATTCTTACTTTCAAGAGTTCTCACACGACCAGTAGCTTCATTCAAAGCACTATCTAACTGGCCACATCTAAAAAACATAAAAGTTTAGTTTCAATTACAAAATAAAAACATTTCCCTTAAAATGTATTATATAAACCTAATCCATATATGTAATATAAGACAAATTCTCAAATGTTAGCTGAGATCCAGGATGCCACCATAGTAAAATATATCCCAAAGACTCTGAAGATGGTCTAGTATCTGGAGAAAATAACAGGCTAAAATAACAATAGGACCTATAATCCCAGAAGCTCAAAAGACTAAAGCAGGAGGATTGGGAGTTCAAAGCCAGCCTCAGCAAAAGTGAGGCACTAAGTAACTCAGTGAGACCCTGTCTCTAAATAAAATACAAAATAGGGCTGGGGATGTGGCTCAGTGGTGAGTGCCCCTGAGTTAAATTCCTGTACACCCCCACAAATAGAAAAAGATTCCTAAAAATATATGCAACGAGGATGAGGAGTAGGTCAGTGGTAGAGCACATGCTTAGCAAGCATGAAGCCCAGGTTCAGTCCCAGCACACACACAAAAAAAGAGAGTACAAAGCAAGGTACAAACAGGTATTTATACACCTGTATTCACAGCAGCTCTATTCACAGCATTCTTTAATTGATAAGCAGCTAAACAAACATGGTACTTCATACAATGGATTATTGAATGTGAAAAAGGAAGGAAACTAACACATGCTATAACACGGTGAACCTTGAAAAGATCATTCCAAGTGAAATAAGTCAGGATCAAGATGACAAATGCTGCATGATTCCAGTTATGTGAGTAATCAAATTCAAAGAAAGAAAGCAGAATGATGGTTGCCAGGGATTGGGGGAAACAGGTAACAGGGAGTGACTGTTTAAAGAGTTTGAGTTTTGCAAAATGAAAATAGTTCTGGAGATAGATGATGATGATGGTTGTACAATGATGCAAAGACACTTAGGCCACTGAATTGTTCACTTCAAAATGGTGAATTTTGTTATGTATGATTTAGTGTTTAAAATTTAAAAAGAAAGAAAGCTTCACAAGCCAGGCACGGTGGCACGTGCCTGTAATTCCAGCAACTCGGGAGGCTGAGGCAGGAGGACAGCAAAGTTCTAAATGAGCCTTAAAAATGTAGTGAGGCCCTAGGGCTGGGGATGTGGCTCAAGCGGTAGCGCGCTCACCTGGCATTCGCAGGGCTCTGGGTTCGATCCTCAGCACCACATAAAAATAAAATAAAGATGTTGTGTCCACCGAAACTAAAAAATAAATATTAAAAAATCATCTTTAAAAAAAAAATGTAGTGAGGCCCTAAGCAACTTGGCAAGACCCTGTCTCAAAATAAAAAATAAAAAGGACTGAAGATGTGGATCATTAGTGGAGCATCCCTGAGATAAATCCCCAGCAGAAAAGAGAAGGGGCAGGGGGAAAGGAAGGAAGGAAGAAGGAAAGAAGGAAGAAATAGCTTGACTTGAGTTGTGAAAAAAAATGTGTACATATATACGTGTGTGCGCGCATGCGCGCACGTGCATTATAATTTCTGGAAGGATATGAAAGATTAAATACAGTACGCTGAGACCAAGGATTGGAGTAGGAAAGCTGACCTTCTTTTTTTTTTTTTTTTCTTTGTTTCTGGGGATTAAACCCAGGAGTGCTTTACTACTGAGCGGCATCCCCAGACAGTATCTCACTTAATTGTTGCAGCTGGCCTCCAACTTGATTTCCTCCTTCTCAGCCTCCAGAGTTTCTGGGAGATTACAGGCATGTGACACTGTACCCAGTGAGGTTATTACACTTATTACATTCTTGTGTACTATTTCAAACTTAGTATGAATTTTTTTTAAAGACTTCCTTTGTAAATTATAGAACCTCAAAATAACAAAAAATATAGAATTCAGTCACCATTTTGATTTAGTGTTCAATGATATACTGGGAATAAAAGTCTTATTTTTATTACTGATTATATACCAGGTCTATGTTAAACATATTACATTTATTCTCACAATCTTATGAGTTATGATGATCAACAGTACCATTTTACAGATGAGATAACAAAGACAGAAAATTGGGTTCCTAGGAGCTGAGATTGTGGCTCAGCGGTGGAGGGCTTGCCTAGCACATTCAAGGAGCTGGGTTCGGAACTCAGCACCACATGAAAATAAATAAATAAAATAAAGGTATCGTGTCCAACTACAACTAAAAAAAAAAAAATTTTTTTTTTTTTTTTTTTTTAAGAAAATTGGGTTCCTAGATTAAAGGTCCCATGGGGGTAAGGGGCCTCACTGAACCTTTTGTTTTTTTGCAGTGTTCAGGATGGAACTCAGGGCCTTATGCATTCAAAGAACATGCTCTACCACTGAGCTACATTCCCAGCCCTTTCGCTGAGATTCTAAAGCCAAATACTCAGGCTCTAGAGTTTATGCTTCTAACCACTTTGCATTAATACCCTTCAAAGATAATACTGAAAAAACTGGTCTTTTTTAGTGGGTTGGGAGGTCTGGTTGGAGATTGAACCCAGAGTCTTGCACATGCCTGGCAGGTGCTCTATCATTCAGGTATATCCCACCCTGGAATAAGACTGCTCTTGTAAGAAAGACCACTTAGATAGTCAAGTGCATATTAACTGCATTCTACTGTTTTTATTACCACACTGACTCTGCCATGCTAGAAAACATTGTCCCCAGGGTTGCAACTGTGACATAATATCTGGTATCATAGCTGGCTTGCAATATATAACCCTGTTTACAGAACCAGTGCATTTCTCCAATTTGCAATTTTCAGTTTGAAAAAAGTTGGGGTGGCTGGGCACAGGTAGCGCACACCTGTAGTTCCAGAGGCTTGGGTGCTGAGGCAGGAAGATTGCAATTTCAAATTCAGCCGCAGCAACTGTGAGATGCTAAGCAACTCAGCGAAACCCTATCTCTAAAAAAAATACAAAACAGGGCTGGGGATGTGGCTCAGTGGTTGAGTGCCCCTGAGTTCAATCCCAAGTACCAAAAAAAAAAAAAAAAAAAAAAAAAAATTATTTAGGAAACGTATCTGTTAAAATTTTGAATCCAAAGTACATGTTTTCAGAAGGTTTATTATCACAATATAGATTGTACTTATGTAGAGGCAATACATCCAAATTGGAAAAACACTAACTTCATAGTTAATGTAAGTTTTACCTGTCTACAAGAATTTGATTGGTTTTCTTCCACTCTTCAACTGCAGAAATTTCTTTTGCCTCCAGCTTCTGTTTCAAACTATTTATTTCTGACTCATAATAAGTTCGAAGATCAGCTATGTGCCGAGCATGCTTCTCCTTCAGATTCTGCCTAATCCTGCTGGTGAGAGTGAAGCACATGACTGAGAAAGCACATCCCTCCTCTCCTTCCCACAGGAGAAACCAAGAGCATACTCATTCTCATGGGCAAAGTGCAGTCTATTTCCTGTGCACACCCCAAGGAAACAAGCAGAAGCTCCGTGTGCTCAGCATCCTCTAGACATAAAGATATAAAAATACACAATAGGCCTGTAATCCCAGCAGCTCAGAAGTTTGAGGCAGGAGGATCACAAGTTCAAAGCCAGCTTCAGCAAAAGCAAGGCATTACACAACTCAGTGAGACCCTGTTTCTAAATTTAAAAAGTACAAAATAGGGCTGGGGATATGGCTCAGTGGTCGAGTGCCCCTGAGTTCAACCCCCCGTTTACTGGCTATGTCAGCAGTTGTCTCTAATCCCCCAAAAGCTGACAATAAAGTGAAAAAGACAGATTACTTAATTTTTAGATGCTTTATCTTAAAAATGCTATATCTTTAAATCTTTATACATTACTAAGGTTCAATAAAAATAATTCTCAGGGCTGGGGTTGTGGCTCAGCAGTAGAGCGCTCACGTACCACATGTGAGGTGCTGGGTTCGATCCTCAGCACCACATAAAAATAAATAAATAAAATAAAGGTATTGTGCCCACCTACAACTAAAAAACAATATTTAAAAAAAAAACCGGGCTGGGGATGTGGCTCAAGCGGTAGCGCGCTCGCCTGGCATGCGTGCGGCCCGGGTTCGATTCTCAGCACCACATACAAACAAAGATGTTGTGTCCACCAAAAACTAAAAAATAAATATTAAAAAAAAATTCTTTAAAAAAAAAAATAAAAAAATAAAAAAAAAAATAAAAAAAAATCATTCTCATCATTCAATCAGACATCACAGAAAATCTGTTAACATTACAAGCCGTCACCGAAATACATACTTAGACAATATCACGGGATCTTCCAGGGAAGTCAATGAAATGCATTCTGGGACACTGTTGGCTGCATCTGGAAGCTGGGCCTGACTGACCGAGGCTGACGCTACCATGACAGTGTTCTCTTCATCTACAGTGTTGACTGAGATATTGTTACTAGTCATAGTGTACACTGAAGGAAATGTGGAACTGGTCCTACTTTCACTTTGGAATGCATGATTCTTCCAAGAGTCCATTGATGAGGCTTTTGCATTTGAAGGATATTTTGGAAATCTGGATAACTGAGAAGTGATATTGCTTGCTTGTGAAAATGAGTCGATGTCAGAGTGACTAGATACGCCTGGTTCCAGAACAGAGTCTGGTGAAAAGGATATTCTGTCATCAAGAGCATTCAAAAAGCCATGTGGTTGAATCCCCGAAGTCTGCTGATTTGGCTTCATATGCAACGTCGGATCTAGAGTAAGGACCTAGAAATAAGACAGACAACCAGAAGTTTCCCTTGGCACACTCAGGCGTTTTGCTTGCCTTCAGTGAGTAGGCTTTACACCTCCTGGGGACAAGGAAGCTCACGGTAAGAGTCACCGTCAGAAGCATCTTTCATTTCCACTCAGCAGTGACAGCTCTACCTCTGGAAGATGATTTGGGTTGGAAGCAGAAGTGAGATTCCTCTCAGGTAACTGCTTGTTTTCCCTTTGCTTTTTATGATAAATATCCTTCAGTGATCGGAGCTTCATCTCATTACTAGTATTAGACTTAAAGATATGAAACAAAATTATTTAACTGGTATCATCAACAATGAAAAAAATTTACTGACATCAAGATAAGAACCATAAAAATTTTTTGAAAGACTTTTAAATAAATTGAAAATCTAGACAGTCAGATTAAGAATACAAGTTTGGAAGCTGAATTTCCTATGTTAAGTTGTCTTCAGAATGAAAAAATTTCATATCTCCTAAAAATGAGTACCAAGAGGACAATTTGAACCTAATTTATTTAGCAGCCTATGAATACTTCCAAAGAATATGACCCCTTGGTAATTCCTATTACAATCTGGATTCTGAATGTCCCCAGAGGCTCATGTGTTGAAGGATGATCCCCAGCTGACAGAGCTACTGGGAGGTGAGGCCTGGTAGAAAGAAGTCAGGTTGGGGGTGGGCCCTTTTAAGGAGATGTTGGGACCCTGGACCTTTCCTTTTCCTCTGTGCCCCTTGGCATCCAAGGCGGGCAGTACTCTCTGCCACAAGCTCCTGCCATGACATACAACCTTACCACAGGCCCCAAAGCAACACAGCCAAGCAATCACAAACAAACCTCTGAAAGCAAGAGCCAAAAAAAACCTTTCCTCCCTTAAGTTGATTATCTTACTTATTTTATTACAGCAATGCAAAGCTGACTCCAACACCCCTTCCACTTAAAAAAGAACCAAGTTTTCAGGTAAGGAAAAAAACCTCACAATGAATGACTGAAGCAGGACAAGAAAACTTCTGGCCAAATTGATTTCAGGTGACATGGGGACAAGTTTACAGAGACAGAATTGCTCATCTACTTGGTAATATTTATTATTTTTTTTAAAGAATTGGCAGATAATAAAAAAATAAAGAAGGGCTGGGATTGTGGCTCAGTGACAGAGCGATTGTCTTGTACATATAAGGCCCTGGGTTCGATCCTCAGCACCACACATAAATAAATAAATAAAGGTATTGTGTCCATCTACAACTAAAAAAAAAAAGTTAAAGAAAATAAATTAATCAATAAAAATAAACTTCTTTAGTCATTAAAATAAGACTCAACACTGAAGCTTAAAATCATTCTCAAGCATTCTGAGGACCATCCTCAGCAAATTAGTGAGACCCTATTTCAAAATAAAAACAATTGGGGATATGGCTCAAGGACTTTGCTATGCTGTAAATGTCACAGAATTACTATAAAGCTTTAAATAGTAAATCTTTAGGGTTGTATTATTTCAAGGTGTGACCCATAGGTTGTGACACAGGTACCAATTAAACCTGGGCCTCAAATTTAAACTGTGGACATTACCGCAAATGAAATTATAGATCCAACAAGAAATCTACTGATAGGATACTCATCATACAGCTTTGAGCTTATGTCTCATTTCCAGACCTCCAAAGCCTGCAGCATACCAGGAATCCTTTCTGTTTTTATGTTGCCCAGGATGGCCTCAAATTCCTGGGATTACCAATTCTCTACCTAACCTCCCAAGTAGGTGGGACCACAGGTCCCATCACACCTGGCTTACCATGAATTAATATTTTTTAATAAAACCTATAACCAGGGGCTGGGGCTGGGGCTCGGGCTCAGCAGTAGCACACTTGCCTGGCATGTGTGAGGCACTGGGTTTGATTCTCAGCACCACATATAAATACATAAATAAAATAAAGGTCTATCAACAACTTTAAATAAATAAATAAATAAAACCTATAACTAGCTTTTGAACAGGACAATTAATTATACTTTTTATGCATGCATTAAAGACATTAATCTGTTAAAAACTAAACCTTTACAATGTACAATTCCCATAATCCTGTTTTGGAATTCTACTCAGTGACCATAAGGCCCTTCACAAGTCCTGAAGTTCATGACAAGTAGCAGCACTCCAGCTATAGGCTACAGCCTGAAGAGTCCCCGCCTGGTGGCCTGAGTGAGCAGCTGGCATTCACACTTAGAGCTCATGACAATAAGGTGCTATTTTCACTACTTTTATGATATTCTTTTCTTTCATATTTTAATATCTCTGAAGTGAGAATGCCTCCGGTAATTAATGGCATCTTTCAATTGCTTTAAGTCAAATAACAGTTGTGACATAATGGTCACTGCCTACTCATAAGCAAATATCAAAACCATCAAAACTTTTCAAATAGGTCTTAGCAGCTTAGAATAAAAATCTTGGAGACTACAGAGGAATTTCTGAGAGTCCTTATTTAAGGAAAAGGTTAACCACCCATGTTTAGCAATGATTTTTATAGGGGAGTCAAAAGCAAGCCATTACTATAGGTAAAACTCAGTACCATGGCCTTTTTTAAAAGAAATGTCGAACCACTGGGTGTGGTGGCACACACACCTATCATCTCAGCACCCTGGGAGGCTGAGGCAGGAGGATTAAAAGTTTAGGACCAGCCTCAGCAAATTAGTGAGATCCTGTCTCAAAATAGTTGAGGACACAGCTGCATGGTAAAGCATCCCTGGGTCTAATTCCCAGCACCAGAAGGAAAAAAAAAAAAAAGAGAGAATTGTTCAATCACCATTTCAATCATTGAATCACTGTTGGTGGTGGAAAGATATGTAGAAAAACATGGAAACCAACACTGAATTGAAAAGAAAAGCGTTATTTTGAGACAGGGTCTCACTAGTTTATCCCACCTCCCCCAAATTCATTTAACTCTTGTGTTCATCTGTCTCTGTTTCTTCCCTGAAGTTTGGGATATTAGTTCCAGTCACTTTCTGAGTCTGATACTTACAAATACCTTGATGTCCCCACTACCCTGTCTGTTCCTACATGTCACTATTTTTTTTACCTCACCATTGGCTTCTTAGATTCTCTCTCCTTTCCCAGTTTACTGTCTCTCATTACCTGATCAAAATACAGAAATAAAGTATGTACATCACACACACATCCAAGATGGTATTATTTATTTGGTTGTTCTGAAGTAAATAAAATGTTTACAGAAAGAAATATTATTTTCTTATTCAAAGAAAATAGAGCAAATTAATTTGCCCATAATTATGATACAAATGGATCAGTGGGAGATGTGACAGAATGGAAAATAAATATCAGAAGATCTTGGAAAAAGGGAAGTTGTTAATAGCTGAAGACAGGCATGAAAGCATTTCATTTAGTTTCACAACACTAACTGGCCATTTTTAATTCCATTTTAAAGTAAGCTTTCTAAAATCACACAGGCAATAAACGTCAGACACAATTCGTAAGCAAAGGAATATGAGTCTAATACAGAACTTACAACGGAGAACTTAACTACAGTCACAAAACACAAACACCCACGCACGTTCATTACCTGGTTCGGTGACACATCTGCCAAGGTGCAGGGTACAAACGTCTTCTCTAAAGATTGAGGCAGACAGTGATACATGTCCTTCTCCTCCAGCTTCCAATAGGTCAGTCCTGACATGACAAATGCACAGAACAGCAAGGAGTGAGGAGAGAGCAAAAGTGCTTTCTAAAATAACTAGTACTATGTAAGGAAGATGAAAAATAGCAAGGAACTAGCTTCTGGCTACCTGGGGAAAGCAAGCTGAATTTTTATAAAGAATCAAATAAATGCCTTACCATGTCAGAATCCTGACTTAATGATGCAAATATTAAAACAGATATTATTAAAAGCCAAATGAATTAGTGCAACTTAAAATACATTTTGCAGGGGTGGGTACCAGGGATTGAACTCAGGGGCACTCGACCACTGAGCCACATCCCCAGCCCTTTTCTGTATTTTATTTAGAGACAGGATCTCGCTGAGTTGCTTAGGGCCTTATGCACCACCGTGCCTGGCTTAAAATATATTTTATTTTTTTAATTTATTTTAATTTTTTTTTTTTAGTTATTGATAGACCTTTATTTATTTTACATGGTGCTGAGAATTGAACCCAGTGCCTCACACATGCCAGGCAAGTGTGCTACCACTGAGCCATAGCCCCAGCCCTTAAAATACATTTTAAAACAGACAATGTCTTTTACTGTGCCAGGCTAGGAGGCAGAAGGAATGAAAAGTGAACAAGTGCAGGATACACAGGAGGTTGCAAGATGACAAGCACTCAACGCAAAGTTTCATAATAGGATAAACGGCTCAAGGAGGAGGCAGGACTATTTTCATAGGGTGATCAGGGTTGGCTAGCTGAGAGGGTAGCGATTACTAGGTACGTGGCCATTTTCACCATTCGAGGAAGTCTCCCGACATGGAGAGAACACTTTCAACAGAGGAAGCAGCTGATGAGAAAGCCATGAAATGAGAACTTGGCTTGCGCTGGAGCAGGTGTGGAGGAAAGGAAGGACAAAGAGCTAGAAGGCTGGCTCCTGCTGGGCTTCCTGGATCGCTGTTATCCTGAGGAAACAGGGAACCACTGCAGGCCTCAGGGCAGAGGAGTCACATACCTAACATATCTTCTGAAAGGATCCCTTTGACCACTCTGCTGAGGACAGGTTGGAGGGTGATGGTGGGGGCGGGGGGGAGCAAGGGCTGTTAGGAAGCTTGAAGAAATGGGGAGGGGAGGCCCTCCATGGGTGTCAGCAGGGAAGGAGGTGAAACCGGCTTGGATCCTGTGATACCTGTAAGGTAAAGCCAATCCATCCTCATAAATTAGATGTGGGAAATAAAGAAAAAGGAAAAAAAGGAAGGGAGCCCTAATATATAAAGATGAGAAGAGCTACCTAAACTTGTCAGCCACTCAGACCAGAATAGCTCACCAAGGATTGCACAAAATGGCTCACAGAGGCTCTGAATTTATTAATTCATTCTGGAGAAACTTAAAAAGGCTGAGATGATTTTTGCAGCCATTTGAAATTGTTGCAAAAGTACCTCATTCCTCTGTCCTTACAGACTTATTAATGCAAGCAAGAAAGTCATGGCTACCAGGGGATGCCACAACATGTGGCGCCTTCACACAAACCATACTCATACCCTATGTGTGGTATCTCCATGGAGTGGGAAATGCAGCCAGCTGCAAAAAAAACTAAACCAACAAACCAGAACCTTGCTGGCAAAAGGAAAAAAAAAAAAAAAATCCAAAAATTAAAAAAGTTTTCCAGTGCTCGCTTTGGCAGCACATATACTAAAACTGGAACGATACAGAGAAGATTAGCATGGCCCCTGCGCAAGGATGACACGCAAATTCATGAAGCGTTCCATATTTTTGAAGGTAAAGTCCTTCCTGGGGTGGATGCTCTCAGCAATGTTTAGTACTTTCCTGCCTTTTGGTTCCTGTGCATGGCCCCTAAGTCATCTTAGCATTTTTCACATCTCCATTTGGCATTAGCTAAAACCTCCCCCCACATCAAGATTCAGCTAGTGGCCAAGAGAGGTAGCACCAGGAACCCTTAAACAGTTGCACAGCATCTCAGCTCATCTTTACTGCACCCTGGATTTGCCTATATTCTTCAAGGTCTCATTTAAATTTCTTAGTGACTAAACCATTATGCATTCTAGAGTGCATCTATTTATATTTTGCCTGTTAAAACAAAGTGAGCTGTGTTAGCTTAGTTCTCTTTGAAGTAGCTTATTTTGATTAGCTTGTCACTGTTCACTACTCGGCATGGAAACAAGATGAAATTCCAGTTTTAGGGAGAAGCAATTGATGAACTATTAAATGATCAATAAACATGTCCATTGAAACTGGGGAAAAAAAAAAGAAAAAAGTTTTCCATACCTGTTCCTGAATCAGACATCCACGAGCTTGGATCTTCATCTGGTTTAGAGAGGTAAAAAGCACGAGGGTGTGCAGCAGCAGCAGCAAAATCAGACTGCAAGTCAAGAAAGAAAACACCAGACCTCTAAAATCACTGCATACACACCACTGACCCAATGAGTGACCACCAGCGCCACACCAGGTAAAGACCTACAGCGTGTCCATGAGGAAGAAGGTCCTGCTTTCCCTAGTTATAAAAGCACAAAGCAAGAGGACCAACAGTGAAGGACTTTCCTGCCCCTGTGTAATTTATGAGTTCATTCTGGTTCTCTGTGAAACTACAAAGAGAAAACTTGAGTCTAACGAGTTCAGAACAAAAATGTATTTATCATTTGCTGTCTACTTCCAAAAGAAATTTGAGGTGCCTGAAATTAAAGGATAAAAATGAATGTTTAAAAACCTTAACAGTTTGTTTTGTTACAATTATAATAAATCAAATTAATTTGGAAGATCACATATCAATAATATGAACCTTTAATAGTAAAGTATTTCTTATACACAATTGGTTATTAGACACAAAAAAGGCAAAAAATGCTTATCATCATCCATTCTGATAAAAATATTAACTTATTTTTATTAAGTTAATATTTAACTTAATAAAAATATTAAGTTAAATTATTAACTTAATATTAAAAATTAATAACTTCTGTGGGTCAGAAGTATTAACTTCTCTTCACAATCTCTCTTATTGTCACATGAAATCTATTTCCAAACAGAGATATGTATCATAGATATTTCCATAGAACCTTTTTTTAGTTTTTATTTATTGACTGATTTATTTATATTGGGTGGGGGTACTAGGGGTTGAACACAGAGGTGCTTTACCATGGAATTACATCCCCAACCCTTTTTATTTTTGAGACAAGGTCTTGCTAAGTTGCTGAGGGTCTCACTAAATTGCTAAGACTGTCCTCAAACTTGCAATCCTCCTGCCTCAGCCTTCTAAATTGCTGGGCTTACAGGTGTGCGCCACCACACCTGGCCCCATGGAAGCTTTTCTTATCAGTTCCTCCATCATGAAAGTTTTCATTCCCGTTAAAAAGTTTTTTTTTTGTTGTTGTTGTTTTTTTTTTTTTTTTTTTTAATTTTTTTGGTAGTGCTGATTGAACCCAGGAGCACTGTACCACTGAGCTACACTCCAAGTCCTTTTTATTTTTTGAGACAAGGCCTCACTAAATTACTGAGGTTGGCTTCAAATTTGTGATCCTCTTGCCTCAGCCTCCCAAGTCACTGGGATTACAGGCATGTGCCACTGTGCCTGGAACTCCACCATTTTTATAAAGTGATAATGCTAGAATCTAAAAGTAAGCCTAAACTTGTCTCCAATACTTCTGGATAGTATTAATTAGGTAGAAATGCATCTTTCAATAGCTTCCACCTTGTAAATCCTAGTTTACTGACTCCTTGAGGTCACAGGAAAACAGATCTTATCCTTGACTCACAGAGGTTTTCAAATTTAAAATGTTGTGGCCAGGCGCCATGGAGCACACCTGTAATCCCAGCAGCTCAGGAGGCTGAGACAGGAGGATCACGAGTTCAAAGCCAGCCTAGCAAAAGTGCTAAGCAACTCAGTGAGACCCTGTCTCTAAATAAAATACAAATATAGGGCTGAGGATGTGGGTCAGTGGTTGAGTGCCACTGAGTTCAATCCCTGGTACAAAAAAAAAAAAAAAAAAACCAGAAAAGAAAAATGAAACATGGTTTCCAGAGGTTGACATACTCCCTGGGCTAACCCCCCCAGCAACTACAACAACTTTTCTACATGGGAAAATCCACCATGTAGGGAAAGAAAATCCATGGGAAAATCACCTCACTCACATTCTCTGACTCTGCCCAGCCCTCTTAAAAGTCTTTAAATTATATTTGCTTATGACCACTCATGCAGTCACTGCAGGAGCAACAGTAACTGAGGTGGCAACACTTTATCTACAGGAGGAAGTTAATCACAGGAGCCTATAAAGCACCATTCAGCCTCTTTTTTTTTCAAGAGACAAATTCCTCAATCTACTTCCTTTCTTAAAACTCTTACCTGGGGCTGTGGTTGTGGCTCCAGTGGTACAGCACTCCCCTAGCATGTGGAGGCCCTAGGTTTGATCCTCGCTTGGCACCACATAAAAATAAAGGTATTGTGTCCATCTACAACTAAAAAAATATAAAATAAAAAAAAAATAAACTCCTATCTGTTGGACCAGGAAAGGTGGCTGGAGAAGTCCAAATCTAACAATCCCAAGTAGAACACTTCTCCCCGCCGCACTGAAGCACAAGCTTCAGTGCACTGGATGGACACCATAGGCGCAGGGCTCCCTGCACACAGCAGTTTGCCCACAGCAGGCAGACAAGGTACCACTGAAGAAAACATGTCCTGCTCTGGAGGAAAATATAAGCATGGTGCAACAAAAAGCCCTTCTAAAACATAAACCCTCTGAGCTCAAGAAGCCAGTCCAAGCTGAGCACAAGGGTCTGCTAATCTGCTCAGCAAGTCAAGGGGCCCCTCTGGAGAAACACTCAGAAGTCCTACAGCCCGGGAAATGGGTGAGTCACTTCTATCCAAGACAAAGGACCAAGGAAACAAAGAACAACTTCAGCTCTAGAAAACACTTATTGCTAAACAATATACAATTTCAAGATGTACTTCAAAGCAGCTATTACTCAAAATAAATCAGCACTGTGCAAAAAGAAAATTAGATCAGAAGAGAATCTGACAAGCATTCCCCCTTTAGAATGAAACTGAAAACAACAGGGAAAGAGGATCAAGAGGAAAGTGCCCACTCTGTGAAGCCAGAATTATGCAGGAAGAATGCATTTCAAGTGTGCTGCCTCTGATTCACCAACCAGCACACCTCAAAATCATTCAAAGTTCAGAAATACAAAGAAACTTGATTTCCCCCAAATAATTCAATACCAAATATATCATTCACCTAAAAAAATGAAAAATTAAACATGCATAGGAGATGACCAAAGAAAAGGAAAAGACTCAGAGGGGACCATCACCTCTTGCCAGATTCTTGGCTGCCCTGCAGATGCCAGGGCAGAGATGCTGTCAGAAGGGCATTTCTGAGCAGCCGGCCAGGCAGCGGTAGCTGATGGGATTCACCCTTGACCTGAGGAGGAAAGCTAGGCTGGTCAGCCTTTCTCAAACTGTATTGCACATAGGAATCACCTGAGGAGCTTTTAAAACTCCTCAAACACAGGTTACCCCCCACACCAAGGCAGTCAGGACTCCTGGGCCTGGCAGCCGAGATAAGTACGTTTTTCCACCTCCTCAGGTGGTTCTAATGTGCAGTAAAGTTTGGGAACCACTGGACTACATCAAATATAGACTGAGATTCAATCACAAAACACAACAAAAAAACCCACTGAATCCACCAAATACATAACACAAAGGAGAAAAGTCTTGGGGTGGGGGTGTTGCTCAGCAGTATAGCAGGTATTTAGTACACTTGAGGCCATGAGGTCAATCCCCAGTACCAAAAAAAAAAAAATTTAGAGATGGAGTTTCAGTTTTGCCCTTACAAACAACAGAAGAAACTACATTAGAGAACATTCTCCGTTTTCCAACGTATGAAAAGAACAACATCAAAAAAGCGGTTTTTATCTGTCTCCAAACGTTTGCATGCTATCACACACACAAGGAAAGCCCATCCTTGACAGCATATGAGTCAAAAGAACAGAACTGCCCAGGAGGCACCAAAGGGCTTTTCTAAGTTACAAAAGCTTTTATGCTTCATGCAGCTGTATTCACCTTCACTTCCCTCCTCCTGAACACAAATCTGAAAAAGTTCAAAGAAGGATGATATTAGAAAGCCTAATATCACATGTTGAAAAGAGAAATAAGGGGTTTGGGGATGCAGCTCAGGGGTGGCATGCTTTCCTAGCACACATGAGGACCTGTGTTCAGTCCCCAGCACAAAAAATAAAGTACAAAAGAGAGAAATAAGTAGCGCCTTACTTATAAAGGCTGGGAATTATCTTCTTATGACTTCTTTAACAGATCTTTAGCCTTGGATGGTGAAAAGACTATATTTAAGACAATCAAGATTTAGCCAACAACCAACTTCTAAAGGTATCAGGTTCCAGAAAGACTAGACTTTGCAATTTCAACTTTTTTTTTTTTTTTTGAGAGAGAGAGAGAGAGAACTTCAACATTTATTTTTCATTTTTCAGCGGACACAACATCCCTGTTTGTATGTGGTGCTGAGAATCGAACCCAGGCTGCACGCATGCCAGGTGAGCGCGCCACCGCTTGAGCCACATCCCCAGCCCCACAATTTAAACATATTATACTAAGTAATGCTGTTCTATGATACTTGAGACCAACAAAGGCTATACCAAAGAACTGAAACTTGGCCAAGTGCAGTGGCACATGACTATAATCCCAGCAGCTCGGGAGGCTGAAGCAGGAGGATTGAGAGTTACAGATATAGCTCAGTTGGTAGAGTGCTTGCCTCACATGCACAAGGCCCTGAGTTCAATCCCCAACTCCACACACACACACAAAAAAAGAACAAAATAGGGCTAGGGATGTGTGGCTCAGTGGTTAAGTGCCCAGGAGTTGAATTCCTGGTATCCCACCCACCCTCCCCCGCCAAAAAAAAAAAAAAAGTACCGAAACTTACTCCATGTCTGGAACTCTTTAATGAGCTGCTAAACTGGCATGGGGGCCACAATCAATTTAAACATTCAATCTCTTGTAATTTGGATTACAAATTCATAAATGTCCAAATTTCAATATCTTTATAAAGGCATCTTAAGGCTTCAATACATACAGTACTACTCCTTACAACTTAATAGTAATATGAATTATTTGAAGGGTTTTTCTGCTGTTTGTTTGGGGTGCTGGCAATCAAACTCAGGGCCTCAAATGTGCTAGGCAAGTATGCCATCACTGAGCTCCACTCACAGCCTTGAAGGGTTTTATTAAACTATTAAATGGGTTACTCTCAGGCTAAATGTAAACATTTGCAGTTCACAAAGAAAGAAGACCCTTACAAATGATCCATGCTTGTAGTATTTTATCCCTCATGAGCTAATTTCCAGGCTACAAAAGAAGCAATATTTACAGCAAATCATTATGTTCAATCTTTTGAAACAAAAGAAAAATTTGTAATTGAACAAATTAACAAGAAAGGGCAAAAAAAAATAATGACACCGAGAATTCGGCAAGCCCAAGAGCTCAGGCTGCCAGAGAAGGGACCAGCACCTACCTTCTTAGCGGGAGGTCTCTTGCTATGCTCACTCCCCTGCTTAGATTTTGAACATCCATCCTCTATATGGGCTCTCTTGGTTTGGTTCTGCTTCAGCTTTTGTGCCCATGATGTTATGGATTTACTATTAAAGAAGAGAAAGCCAAGATACTTTTTCTAGATACTGTCTTTCACATATAAGGGAAAACACAATAAATACTGCTTCAGTGGGAAATGCTTGGAGTTGTTTTTCTAGTAGGGGAAAGATGACAGGTTTTTAGTTATTCACCTAAATTTCTTTCTTCAATTTCTAATTACCAAAGGCAAAGAAAGCAAAGAGACTAACAGTGATTAACAATACATATAGTCCATGGTCATGGACAAGAACAAAAACCAAAACACACCCCCCAGCACTTCAAGTACTAAATATTATCTCTACTGTTAAAACACACTTATTAGGCCTGTGGCACATGCCTGTAATCCCAGCAGCTCAGGAGGCTGAGACAGGAGGATCGTGAGTTCAAAGCCAGCCTCAGCAAAAGCGAGGTGTTAAGCAACTTAGTGAGATACTGTCTCTAAATAAAATACAAAATAGGGCTGGGGATGTAGCTCAGTGGTCCAGTGCCTCTGAGTTCAATCCCCAGTACCACCCCCTCTCCCCCCGAAAAAGACAGGAGAATTACACTTTTGAGGACAGTGACTTAGTGAGACACTGTCTAAATTAAAAAAAAAAAAGGGGGGGGGGGCTGGAGATGTACTTCAGTTCCCAAGTTCATAAAAAAAGAAAGAAAAGGGCTGGGGATGTGGCTCAAGCGGTAGCACGCTCGCCTAGCATGCGTGCAGGCCCGGGTTCGATCCTCAGCACCACATACAAACAAAGATGTTGTGTCCGCCGAAAACTAAAAAATAAATATTAAAAAAGTTCTCTCTCTCTCTAAAAAAAAAGAAAAAACACACTTATTACATATATGAAGACACGAATGGTGTGACTATACTTTGTGTACAACTAGAGAAATAAAAAATTGTTGGGCTGGGGATGTGGCTCAAGCGGTAGCACGCTCGCCTGGCATGCGTGCGGCCCGCGTTTGATCCTCAGCACCACATACAAAGATGTTGTGTCCGCCAAATACTAAAAAATAAATATTAAAATTCTCTCTCTCCCTCTCTCTTTAAAATAAAAAAAAAATTGTGCTCCGACTGTGTAATATGAATCAAAATGCATTCTGCTATCATGTATAACAATTAGAATAAACTTATTAATTTAAAAAAAAACATAATCATTGACAAAGATGAATAATTATACTTGAGGAGGATAATAAGATTTGTGTTGCTATGGCTAAGCACCTTTAGCTGACACATCTGACATGTGAAGATATTAAACTGAAAATTTAGGGTAAACTCCAAAATTATACATTATTATTATTTTATTTATTTATTTATTTATTTTTACAAACGAGTATGGGGCTGGGGTTATGGTTCAGCGGTAGAGCACTAGCCTAGCACGTGGGAGGCCCTGGGTTCGATCCTCAGCATCATATAAAAGTAAATGAATAAAATAAAGGTATTGTATCTATCTACAACTAAAAATATTTTTTTAAAAAAACAGTATGTGTGTACATAAGTTTTGGTTTCAAATCACATGAACATGAGTGACAAGATCCCACTAGTAATGTAATTATTATAATTTGTTAAGTTTCTAGCAAATTTGTATATTAGTCACTGTAAGAAACAAAAAATATTTTTCTGGCAAGGCCTCCTACCTTAAGATTTAATAGTCTTATAATATTGCAAATGGGAAGAAAGTCAAATGTCCTTAGTATATAGCAGATTTTATTTCAATTTTCTACATGCAACAAATAAAAAATCAATTTAATGATAAAACTGTTACTTCTTTTTTTTAATATTTTTTTAGTTGTTGATGGACTTTATTGTCTTTATTTTTATGTGGTGCTGAGAATCGAACCCAGTGCCTCATGCATGCTAGGTGAGCACACTACCACTGAGCTACAACCCCAGCCCCTAAAACTGCTACATATTTTTTTTAAAAATCTTATTCTCTTACAGTCCAGTTAAGAGGAACTGTATTTACTAGATTCTGAATGTAATCAACGAGTAAAAATCCTCTTGAATGATGGAGAAATTCTACTTACCTATCTGCTTTTCCACTGTATACTTCAGAAATCTTATTTTCACCAAGAAAATTATGTTCAAATTCATCAGGAAAACTAGAAATATCTTCCTTTAAAGATTCACAAAACTCTTCAGGAGATTGTGCATAAAAACTGCCATTTCCTGCACCATCTACAGGCGAATCTGTCTGTACTCCTGGTGCTGGGTATTGTCCCTTGGGAAGGCCTGTGTGCTCCATGAGCTCTGCAGAGTCCTTGGATTTGTAGGTGTTCAATTCTGAGATACAAAAGGTGCCATACCCACTGCTCACAGAGCTGCCGTCCACATTGCAGTCTGGCTGTGATGTGGACATTTCTTGTTGCATCTCAGGCTCCTTAGGCTCGGGATAACTAATAACAGATTCATTTCTTTCACTATTTTCAGAAAAAAAACCCATCTGACTTTCTGAAAATAATTGTTTGCTTGAAGGACTTTTATCACTGGAAGCCCAGGAAACATTACTGATCTGCAATTTGACTAAATTTCTGATCTCCTCCTGTATACGCTGCAAACAAAAAGTTAAAGATTGGGTAAGAAACTATATTCACATCACATTTTTACAAATGTTATAAAAATGCCATGTTTCACAATATATCACTCTAAACATATCTTTAGTTCACAAAAAATTGATATAAAGTATAAATTGTTTTGCTAAAAATCTTATAAATACTAAAAACAAAAAAAAAAGAAAATCAATATAAATGATTACTTACTTGAATTTGGTTGTGGAACTGTTCTTGCTGAGCAACTATTTGTTCTTGGCATTGTTTTTCCACCAAATAGAACAGCTGTAACCACCTAGTCTTTTTAATTATAAAATATCTTAGTTAAAAAAATTTTAACTATTTCACAGAAAAATTCCTTCAATGTGATATGGCTTTTTAAAAATAAGGATTTTAATTTAAAGTTTATAAGCAAAATTAGCTTTTTTTTAATATTTAATACAAAAATATAAAGACAAGAAGCTTGGGTACCCCCACTTTTTTTTTCCCCTGCTGCGGTTCTGTGGAATGAACCCAGGAGCACTCTACAACAGAGCTACCTACCCATCCTTTTTATTTTATTTTTTTCTGAAACAGGGTCTCACTAAATTGCCCAGGCTAGCCTCCAACTTGCAATCTTCCTACCTCAGCCTCCCATATCACTCAGATTACAGGAATACATCTAGTTACCCCCTTTAAAAAAAAAAAAAAAAATTCTACGTGTAGATGGACAGCATGCCTTTGTTTATTTTTGTGGTTTTGAGGATTGAACCCAGTGCCTTATGCATGCTAGGCAAGCACTCTACTGCCGAGCTATAGCCCCAGCCCATAGTTACCCCTTTTTTATGTAACCTGCAATATGGATAAATAGAAGGTCTGGGTAATGTTTTCGTTGAATAATGCTCAAGATAGACTGTCCCTATTTTTCAGTAGAGCTCAACTTTATTAGATCCAAAGCCTTACACACAAGTTTTCTTTTCACTGTTACTTTGGGGGGGGTGTGTGTGTGTATGTGTGTTTGTACTAGGGACTGACCTAGGGCCTCACATATGCTAGTCCTCTACCACTGAATTACATATCCCTAAAGCAACTGTTACTTTTTTTTTTTTTTTTTTGCAGAACTGGGGATTGAATTAAGGGGCAACTTTACCACTACATCCCCAGTCTTTTTTTATGAGACAGGGTCTCACTAAATTGCCCAGGCTGTATTGAACTTGTGATCCTCCTACCCCAGCTTTCAGAACAGCTGGGTTTACAGGTGTGTGCCAGTTTATTGGGCCTCGCTCTGTTACATTTTTTTTTTTCTATCACAATATAATCTATGATGGGGCTGGGGTTGTGGCTCAGCAGTAGAGCGCTCACTGAGCATGTGCGGGGCGCTATGTTCAATCCTCAGCACTACATAAAAATACATAAATAAAATAATATTTATTTAAATAAATAAATATTTACATATATATATATATATAAATAAAATCTATGAATTTGGACTGAGGTTGTGGCTCAGCAGTAGAGCACTCATCAAGCACATGCAAAGTACTGGGTTTGATCCTCAGCACCACACTAAAAATAAAAAATAAAAATAAGGGGGCTGGGGTTGTGGCTCAGTGGTAGAGTGCTTGCCTAGCATGCGTGAGACACTGGGTTCGAATCTCAGCACCACATATAAACAAATTAATAAGCAAAATAAAGTCCATCAAAAATTCTTTTAAGGGCTGGGGATGTGGCTCAAGTGGTAGTGCGCTCGCCTGGCATGCGTGCGGCCCGGGTTCGATCCTCAGCACCACATACAAACAAAGATGTTGTGTCCGCCGAAAACTAAAAAATAAATATTAAAAAAATTCTCTCTCTTTAAAAAAAAAAAATTCTTTTAAAACAAATAAATAAATAAATGGGAACAAAAATAAAAATAAAAAATAAACAATAAAGGTATTGTGTCCATCTACAACTAAAAATATTTTTTAAAATAATAATTATCTGTGAATTGAAGAAAGGCTGACCTAAAACAATATAATGCAAGGTACAATAGGTACCTGTGGTAAAGTACTAACTAGAAGCTTTAACTCGTAAGCACAACAGCCAAAATACTTCAAAGTGGATTTAGATTTTCCAAAATGAGGATAATTCCATATAAATTACTTAAAATATTAAGACCAATAATTTTAATTATTAATTATTTTAATAATAATTTTAATGGTAATTTTTAATTATTATTATGGGGGTTCTCAGTTCTCTGAACAAAGATATTTTAGTTCACATTTTTTTTTTAATCTTTTTAATATTTATTTTTTAGTTTTCGGCGGACACGACATCTTTGTTTGTATGTGGTGCTGAGGATCGAACCCGGGCGGCATGCATGCCAGGCGAGCATGCTCCGCTTGAGCTACATCCCCAGCCCCTAGTTCATATTTAATATACAAATGTTTCATCACTAATATATTGTTAAAAAATACTTTTTTTCCTTCTCTTTCCCTCCCTCCTCCCTCCCTTAATCCACTTGCTCAACCCTACTGATCTCCCTTCTATTATTATTATCGCTGTTATTTTATTATTTTATTGACTTTATTTTTGAGGATTGAACTCCAGCCCTAGTATTTTTATTTTAATCAGTGCATTAAAATTACACATATAAGCCATGTTCACCATGGCATCTTCCTATGTGGACACTGTGTAACGTGGTGAACTCACTACCATGCCTCCCCCCCTTTCCCGATCTCTCCACCTCCTTCCTCTACTCTACTGGTCTCCTGTCTATTTTTGTGAGACCCATCAAAAATACTTTTTTTGTATGATGCTGGGGATTGAACCCAGGACCTTGTGCATGTAAGGCAAACCCTCTACCAACTGAGCTATAGTCCCAGCCCAAAAATATTTTTGATCACCTTTTTTACATTCAATATTGTTCTCCAACAAACATAGCCTAACTACTTCCACAATAAGTATTGTGCTCTTCTGAATACAAATTCGTAATAGAATTCAGTAGAAGTTCATTTAAATGTAATTATTTTAAAATTATCAAAATAAAACAAAACAAGATACGATACCTCACAGTTTTTCCAAAGTTCCGAGTCAGTCTTTCCACTGTTCTGTAGCTCTTGCGTTAAGGAGTTTAGGAACTCAGCTGTACCTTGAATGGCAGAGGGTGTGGTCTTCCCTGAGAAAGAGGATACCCCATTTGTACTACTTCTGTTGAAACATAAATAATTCAAATGGTTTTCTTCATTCTACCAAAGTGTTGAATAATTCAGCAGTCCAAGATTTAACAAAGTAATACAAAACCACTGATATTTAATCCTTCTAATGGTACCTCAATCGTTGAAAATCTGATCATAAGTCTGGTCACAAAAAGAAGACATCAGTAAAATGACAGGCAGTGCTTAGAAATCTTTAAAAAAAAAAAAAAAAAACCCAACAGAAAGACTTCTCAGGCATAATGAAAACACTCCAAAGAATCAGCAGGAAATGAGTCTGTGGTAGCAGGTACTAAGCAGTCTCCAGGTGAGAATCTCTATGTTCCAGAGCACTATCTCGAGCCTAATTAGAGAATAGCAGTTCCCTGTGTAGTGGGGACTCTCTCTCCACTTCCAAAATTACAGTCAAGTCTTGTCACCTGGATCCCCTCATTGGTGTGATGTTCTGGTGCTTATGCCAAGTAAATTAGCAGCAAATATTCAGGACTGATTTAGCCTATTCATTGTGATTCCTTCCAGGAAGACTGATTTTTCCAAACTTAAGTTTAATTCACATTTATTTTATAAACATATACATCATAATTCAGGATACTGAATTTTGTTTAAAATCTAGGCACTGAAAGGTCATTTTAATTTTTATTAATACCCTGCTTTCACAAAGAATTTGTTAAAAAAAGAAAAGAAAGAGAAAGAGGTAATAATGAAAAATAATAGTAAAATAATAGAGTTAGGACAGGTAAAGTATTAAAATTTCAAGGGAAAGAAGAACATGATATGTTGTTCATAAGGGATTTATACAGTTTTAATAATCTAGTTTCATCATGTAGATTTAACTGCCGGTCATAAGGACAAGGAAGCCAAGTGCAATTACAAAATTTTCATAAGAAAGCCATATTTAGGTTCCTCCAGGCAAATCAAATGCTATATTCTAAAAGGAATTTCTTCCAGAAATGAACTTCAGAGAGGCCACCAAATGAGAACAGCAAACAAAACATGTGGCCAACCTTCAGCAAGTGTACATAGACAGACTATTGGAGCAGACATCTCTTGTATGCCTTTTTTTTTTCCCCTTGAATACTGGGGATTGAATCCAGGGTCTTGGGCATGCCAGGCAAACACTCTACCAACAGAGCTTTATCTCCAGCCCTCATTTTAATTATTCTTGTAAACTGCTTTAAATTCCTCAGAAGGCAGGCAGAAAATTAAGTTATTAAAGTAACTTATTTATAATACACCATTCCTTCAAGACCCATGAGTTTAAAGCTATTTACCCCTTCATAGGTAAGCCCTAAATGGCTGTGTCCTTGCTTTCTGCTATGTATCTGCTTTTTATAACTGACTGTCTAATATACCCTGACTTGTGGCTGTTGGTTTTTGTTGTTGTTGTTGTTGTTTTTGTAGTTGCAGATGGACAGCATGCCTTTATTTTATTCTTTTACTTTTTATGTGGTGCTAAGGATCAAACCCAGGGCCTCATGCATGCTAGGCAAGCACTCTGCCACTGAACTACAGCCCCAGCCCTCGTGGCTGTTTTTAAGCTACTATAAACTTACAAATAATGGAGCTTGTTGGCCTGCAAATTAAAAGTACAGAGTCTGATTAAAAACAAACCAATGGGCTGGAGGTACAATTCATTGTTAGAACACTTGCCAATCATGAACAAGGCCCTGGGTTCGATCCCCAGTACCACAAAACAAAAAACAAAAACCACTGGGCAGCCAGGCACCAGTAACCCAGGAAGCTGAGTCAGGAGAATCCCAAGTTCAAGGCCAGCCTCAGCAACTTAGTAAGACCCTATCTCAAAATAAAAAAATTAAACGGGCTGGAAATGTGGAAAAGAGCCCCTGGGTTTAATCTCAGCACCAAAAAAACCCCCCACACCAGGCTGGGATGTACTCAGTGGTAGTGATAGAGGGTCTGCTTAGCATGCACAAGGCCCCAGGTTCCATCCAACACAACAAAAACAAAAAATCAACTATGGAATAGCTTAAAAATAAGATGCATTTTGTTGACTATTTTGTTATCTCAGAGTCTGTTTTTTGCTTAGTTCCTAATATTTAATTTTAATTTCTACTTTCCAGATTGGTGAGGTATTTCTGCAATACAAGACATTAGTTGTACCATTAATTTAAAATGCAGAACTAATAGTTAGGCAACAAAAATTTTTAAATATTCTTATTTACCAAAGCAAAAAATTAAAAATTTAAAAAAGCATAAACAATTAGCAAAATAAGTTCTTTCTCACAATGCTCCACATGCAAAAACACATTTTTTTCTAGAAGAAATGAAAAACACAAAAGAACTAAAAGTATTCTCAACTTAAATAATTGTTCCTGAACAGTTCCTGATTTTTTTAACACATTTAAATCAGCAACTATGACACTATTTGGATAAACTGATACACTATGCAAATAAAGTTATTTTAGTTTATTGTTACAAAATATCTATCCCATTCTTACCTATTAGTATTTAAGCTCAATCCAAGAGAATGGGGAGAATTTTTGATATCAGATTCTACAGATGAAGCTTTTTGTAAGGTTTTCACCAAGTCAAAATCCTCCATAGTGTACAGAAATTGTTATACTCTCTTATTTGAAAATATAGGCTTTTTCACTGTTTGAGGAAACTGAATCCGGGTCATCTTCAGATGCTTCATCGTCTACTGGCATTTTCAGTTGCTAACATTCAGAACTGTGAAATATCCTAAACTTCCTTGAGAGTCTGAAAATGAATGGGGGAAAAATACTTGTACAAAAAGCCACTAACTTAGCAACTGTCCTTTTGTGACTTTGGAAATCTTCACTTCTTTTATAAAATCTACATTAAAGACAGCATCAATATTCACAATGGCCAAAATACAAAAACAACCCAAATGTCCATCAACAGAGGCATGGATGATGACAAGTAGCACATTCATATGATGGAGTATGATTCAGCTTTAAAAAGGAATGAAGTATTGGTACATGCTATAACATGAATGAAACATAATGCTAAGTAAAAGTCAGTCACAAAAACCACATAATGTATGATTCCAATTATATGAAATACTTAAATTGGCAAATTCAGAGACAGAGAGTAGATTAACATTTGTTAGCAGTCGCAGGTAGGAAAGAATCAGAGTGACTGCAATAGGTACAGGGTTTCTTTTGGGGGTAATGAAAAGTTTTGCATTTAGTGATGGTTCTACAGCCTTGTAAAAACCACTGAAACTTATTTGAAAAGGATAAATTTTATGGCATGTGAATTATAGATCTCAATTTAAAAATCTACATTAAGGGTGATTTACAAACACAGCAGCATCTTTTTCAGAATTTTGTATTTAATAATCAAGCTTCTAGACACAATCCTATTATGTAACAATTGGAATGCTTACATTCATTGTTCACTTAATAAATTCTAACAAGTATGCGTGTTAGTTTCATGCAGTGACTAGAAGAACTTAACTGCTTATTATTAAAAAGAGAAAACTGTTAACACGATTGTTTCCCTACTGTCTGGAAGCAAACTTTGCACTATCTAGTCTTTTGTACTCTGTGCATGTATCATTTCTTTAAAAATAAACTATGTGTCAGGTCAACTAAATTTTAACTGAATTATAACTAAACTATTACAATATGCCTCCTTCTTTGCGAATTCAGGCATTTAAAAAGAATTGAGGAAACCAGGGGAAAAGAAAGACAAAAGGGGGTGGGGGGTAAACCTGTGCTGCTCACAATAAGAAGCGTTTAAAAGAGTGCAACCGAGGACCATTACCTAGGGCTCCCACTTCCTAGGGCCTGGTTTTAGAAAAGCACTTCACCAAAAGCTATCAGCTCATCAAGAAAGCATCTCCTTCGGGGACAGGTGTGAAAGCCCAGGGTAACCGGACCGAGCTAAATGCAGGCCTCCCCAGTGGCTCGGCCCAGCACCAATGACAAACGGGGCATTGAACAAGCCAGGGGCTGCCCGCTCCACACCCGAGTCCCAGCCACCCCGCGCCACGCCAGGGGGCCGGATCTGCAACCCCATCTATTTCCTCCCCGGCTGAGGCCACCAGATGCGGTGGAACCCGACGGAAAACCAGAAATTCCGGGGGGACTCTCCGGTTGGGGCGCGGGGCGGGTGAAGTCAGCAAAACGGGGGAGGGGCTGACATAAGATGCAAAATGTTTTAAAAAAGGGGAAATTTGATAGGGAATAAATATAGCAACAGAGGCGTTTTTATATTTTTCCAGCAACAAAATCTGCCCCTCCAGCCCCCGCCCCCACGCACTAGAAAACGGGGGTGGGGACAGGGAACACCAATGGGGCCCACAGCAGCCGGAGGTGGACAGGGCGTCCTCCCCGCAGGGCGGCCGCGGCACCGCTGCGGGCGGAGGCCAGAGCCCCTATTGCTGGAGGCGGCTACCGCGTCAAACCAGAGAGGAAAGAAAAGCGCTGGTGGCAGAAACCACCGCGGAGACTCAGACACCCAGGCACCTTGTCAATTAAAAAAAAAAAAAGAAGAAGAAGAGGAAATTAATTAATAATAAAAAAGCCCCCCCCCCGCCCCTCAGAAAGGCCGCTCTGCGATTGGGCCGCGCGGGTGTCACTCAAGGGCACCGAGTCTAGAAGAGGCGCACGCAGAGCTGAAAAACCCCACACGCCAGTGAGCTCTGGCCGGGCTGCTCCCCAGACAGTTGTCTCCCCTCACCCTGGCCCATCTGAGCACTCAGGTGTCCGATACATCTCGTGCCCCATGCCCCGCGGCCAGCAACTCTCCGCAGGCAGACTGTCACTTACCTGGCCGCCGCTCCCACTGCCGAAGTCAGGGTCAGCCGAGCGGCCTCGAGCGACCGTTAAACTCCGGGGAACGTGCGCGCGTCCGGCGTCTCTCCCGCGATTGGCTGCTCGGAAAGGGGCGGAGACGGCTAAGCGCGGTGCGCGCGTCTGCCACCCACTTCCCCGCGCGCCAAACGGGAAGGTTCGAAGCTAGGGGTGTGGGAGTGGGGCTACTGTCAAGATCTCCCCTCTGATTGGCTTTCTGGGAACCTACCGCTGCACGCGGGAAAGAAGTCTCAGCTTCTCGCATGCGCAGTTAGTAGGAATGCGCCTCCGGCAGGTGAGGGACTCCGCTGCGAGCGTACTGCGCGTGCGCACTTGCGCGCTCCCAGGTCTGCGGTGCTTCTAGTTCACCCTGAACGTTTTCGGAGGGAGGTCCGTGCCAAGACCAGGTAAGCATCCGCGAAGAAGGCAGAGTCCCTAGGGCTGCTCACGATTGTCCAGGGCTCTAGAGAGGCCTAGGAGCCAAGACGCCTGAGTTTTTCCCGTCTTGCGAACTGTCAAACAACCAGCTTACCTGGGGGCCTGGTAGCGAAGTGGAGCAGGAGCCGGTCCCGACCCCAGCGCGCGTTTTACCCTAAGCTGCTTGGGTAGAGTTGCTGGTCCTCAAGCCCTCGGGGCGCGGGAGAGGAGCAGAGATCCCCGCTCTGGAGAGAGCAGTTCCCAGAGGCCGAAGAGAAAGGTCTAATTTGCATGTTAAGCAGAGCGGGATGCAACTGTGGCCACGCAGCGAGTGCTGTCCTGGGAGTGGCACGTAGTAGGTGTCGGCACTGCCCTTGCTAAGCTTGGGAAGACAGCCGAAAGCCGCTTTACTTCCCGTGGGCCTCAGCCCATCTGATACGTACTGACCAGCATGTTCTTCAGCCTAGTTAGCCTTTAATACTAAGCGAATACTTTCTGCGGTACTGTCACTTTAGTGTGCCAGAGATGATACTGAGAAGCCAGGATGCAAAGGATGGATTTCCCCTTGGAATGACTAATGTCTCTGGAGGCCTCCATCTCATTGCACTTCCTTAGAATACCTATTATTTTCAACAGTAAAACAGTCTCCATCCAAAACCCCATCAGTGTGTCAGATCTGAGGCTTAAATAAATGGAAACCCAGACCCCGTGTGGTAATCCACCTATCAGTATTATGCTCATGTAACACCTAACCAAAATCAAAATGTTCTCAGCACCTGGCTGTATTTTCAGTGACAATATATCAGGTCCACACACACAAAATTATCACTAATTTCGGCTGAGAGGCACTATAGACTCTGGCACTCACAGAAGAACTGAGAAGAGTTCTAGACAACCAAAGATCTGTTTCAGAAAAGAAATATTAGCCCTAAAAGCTATTACTAGTGATTAGTTAATAACCATGAAGAAGGTAGTTGATCATTGCTTTTGATTACAAAATCAGACTTACTTTGATAGTGTATTTGGAGTTATTATTATTATTTTTAGTTATTGATAGACTTTTATTTTTATGTGGTTCTGAGGATCGAATTCAGTGCCTCACACATGCTAGGCAATACTCTACTTCTGTGGTACAACCCCAGCCCTGGGAGTGTGTTTTTTATTTAGTTTTTGGCAGAGCAATTTTAGGGGACTTGTAGGTAATTTCTTTTTAATTCATGAATGTCTTAATAAGCCAATGTGTTCAGGATCTAGCATTATATTATCATTATTAAATGATGCAGTGATATATTTTGATAAGATTGCTTACACCATATGTCTTTTTAAAAATATTTATTTTTTCTTTAGTTGTAGATGGACATAATAACTTTATTTTATGTATTTATTCATTTTTATGTGGTGCTGAGGATCGAACCCAGGGCCTCACACATGCTAGGTGAGCCCTCTACTGCTGAGCCACAACCCTTGCCCCCCCCATATGTCTTTAGTAGAGTCTTAATTTTAAAAAATTCAAAGTGGAAATTGCCTTTACTGGATTAAGAAATGTCTTTTTAAAAGCTTTGTAAACAAGCTAAGAATGTCTGTTTTTAAAGTCCAAGGAAAGCTAAAAGCAGAGGCTTCAAAAATTCAAGTAATGTCTTAACACAATTGTCTAATATGAATAACCCTCATGCCAGAGACCTTGCATTAGTGAACTCTAGTTTATGACTTTTATAATGTTGCGAGATTACCTTATAGTTTTATCATAACATCAAGTTTTCAAGTATTTCTTGTTTGTCTTGAAAGCTTCAAATTAATAGTTTTTAAGTAATCAAACAGCTGTTGAGCAATAGAGGCCATTGATGACTTGAGATATTTCCTGTTAACCAGGGTGTTACTTTTTGTCATTGACTTTTATATCCAAACAATTTGCTGTGGCGGGGGTGGGAGGGTGTCTTCACAGCAATAAAATGAGAAATAATAAGTCTTTAAGCCAGGTATGGTGACTCACATCATAATCGCAGCCACTTGGGAAGGTTAAGGCAGGAAAAGTGCAAATGTGAAGCCAACCTAGGCAACTAAGGGAGACCCTACCTAAAAAAAATAATTTTTTAAATGGGCTGGGGATATAACCCACAGAATTCTTGCCTGGGATGGGCAAGGCCCTGGGTTCAGTTTCAAATTTTTTTCATGGTACTTAGGATCATATCCAGGTTCTCAAGCATGCTGTGCAGTTGATCTACCATTAAGCTACATCCCCAACCTTACATTTAATTTTTTCTATATCTTTCCTCTTTCTGTATTCCTAGATACAGCTATGTTTGAGCCAGGGATTACTTTGCTGTAAGTGTTCTTATCTTTCAATGGGAGCCTGCCAAGAATTCAGACTGTATTTTGGCATCATAATGATCCCAGTTCATGGACCAGAATTATGACCTCACCAAATAACTGTCTCCTGCAATTTTGTGGTTTCCAAGTATTTCTTAAATTGGACCAACCAAAGAAAATAACTTGCAGGTCACTGTTCTAGCTGCCTTTTCAATCTGAACTCCGAAAAGCCCATGGAATAATTAGTTTATATGCCATAAGACCACGACTTATGTGGTATGTTAGTCAGAGGTTCCTCAGCTTTGTAGTTTAGGCAATTGAAGTGCTACCACTTAGTAAGCACTAGAGCTTTACATTTGTGGCAACATGTAGGATTTGTTCTTACCCTAGATGTTATGGTCTCCATTTTACAGATGAGGAAACACGGCCAAAGTTACACAGAGAGTTGAGACATTGAATGCTGGACAGAGTGGCAGGGAGACATCTTACTAGGAAAAGAACTATTTGGTGAAGCTAAGGAAAGGATAAACTTAGTTTCAAAAATTGAAAACTCGGGGCTCGGATTGTGGCTCAGTGGCAAAGCACTTGCCTAGCATGTGTGAGGCACTGGGTTTGATTCTCAGCACTGTGTGTCAATAAATAAAATAGGGGAGGGCGGGGCCTGTGCGCCATCACCGCGGCCTGTGGGAGACTCTGGAGTCTCCCAAGATGCCCATCATAGTGTCAGACATCATGAAGCAGCTGTGCTCCGTCTCCCAGGAAAGCAAGATGAAGGCAGCTGTCAAGCACTCTGGGAGGGGTGCCCTGGTCACAGGGGCTGTGGCCTTTGTTGGTGGTTTGATGGGTGGCCCACCAGGACTAGCTGTTGGAGGGGCTGTAGGAGGTCTATTAGGTGCCTGGATGATGAGTGGACAGCTTAAGCCAGTTCCACAGATCTTAATGGAGCTGCCTCCCACTGAGCAGCAGAAGCTCTTTAATGAAGCCACTACCATCATCAGGCACTTGGATTGGACAGACGCTGTGCAGCTGACTACTCTGGTTATGGGCAGTGAGGCCCTGAAGCATCAGCTAATGGCAATGCTGGTGAACTATATCACTAAGGAGCTGCAGGCTGAAATTCAGTACGATGACTAGGCTGACCCTCTGAGAAGTGGTGGTTTCGCTTCAATGATTCTTTGATTTTCCAAAGGTAACGGGGAGTTAGGGAGAAGCCCAGTGAATCCCCTTGAGATATCTGCACATCGTCAGTGAATTACCTTACACTGGAGTAGAAGGTCCTGCTGCAGTGGCTACCACTGTACTGGTCATGGCCAGCAGTTATTTATGAAGAAGTCGTGTTTCTCGCTCGCTTGTGTGTGCTGAGGTACACTGGCAGCACTTCTTGACTGTGAAGCTGGAGGGAGCAAAGGCTGAGTGTTGCAGGCCTTGGCTTTTATGAGTCTGGTTATTGTGTTCAGCTGATTTGCTAAGTATACTTCCTTCTCCTCATTTTGTGAAGATGGCTTCTCTTCCAGACACTTGTTGCAAGACTGGACCCCCCAGGATCCAGGATCTCACTCAGAGCCAGTCTATGCCACAGTCATGAGTGTGCCCCTCTCTGCCCAGTGATTTCTCAGTGGCCTTACGGAGAGTGGTTAGCCTGTTGAGTGAAGCTGCAAATACCAAGCAGGCTGGGCCCATCTCTCACTAGCTGCCCACCTTGTTCTTCTCTTCCTAGGACCTTGTTTCTCCACATGAAAACTCATGGTAATTCTTGAGTTAGACATTTTAAATGAAATATTTTCAGTACAAAGTATTGCTCTTACATAGTAGAATCCTAACCGATCTGTAAGAAAAGTTCCCACCCTAAAGATCCCCCTAATATCATATTTACTTTGCCTTCTGAAATTCTTGACAAATCACAATAAATTTTTTTCTGAAAAGTCAATCAATCAATCAGTCAATCAATAAAATAAAATAAAAGGTCCATTGACTACTAAAAAAAATATTTAAAATAAAAACATTGAAAACCAGAGCTGGAGTTATAGTTCAGCGGTGGAGTGTTTGCCTAGCACGTGTGAGGCACTGGGTTCACTCCTCAGCACCAGTACAAATAAATAGAATAAAGGTATTGTGTCTATCTACAACTTAAGGAAAAAAAAAATTTAATTGAAAACTCAGTAATCTTCCAAGATAAGTCTTCCTGAGAGAATCCATATATTCTACCTTCCCTATTTTCTTCATTTGTGTCAAATCCAATAATTCATGTTAAAGTGCTTTGAAACATTTTAAATAATAAATACAAGGCATCATTAATGGCTATAGGCTTTGAGACTTTTAGAAGAAAATGTAATGTTATTGCTGCTCTTTTATGTGTTTCTGTTTTTAAAATGTAGTTGATAAATTATAAGGTTCCTGTGAGATGCCATAAATAGAAGAAAATCACAGTGGTGCTCACAAATAGGACAAGTGTAATTCTCTTTAAAGTTTTCTGTTTAAAAAAAAAAAGATGAACAGGATGTCAGTATTATATGAATTGGATGTTTCTCTTTATATACTTCATTACCTGTCTCTTGAACTCTGCAGCAGTGAGCCTATTACATTTAGACCAGACCCAGAGCCGTCATCTTTTCCACTGGTCCCCCAAATCAAAGATGACAGCTCTGCATTTCCTGCTGGATCTATTGTGCTGTACTTGTTGGAAAGATAATTCTCTGTGAACACTGACTGTGGGTGAGAGGTGCTTTATCCTCAGCGTGAAGCCCCACGCCTGTCCTGCAGGACACCAGCAGTTCCCTTTGGAGAGGAAAGTCAGCCCTTACAAGGACTTCAGGCCTTCGGGTATAGGGGGATGAGCTACATGCAAAAAACAGAGAAAGGCTACTTTCTTTTAACTCCCATTTTATAGGGGGCATCAGAAAACACTTTTGAGGGCTGGGGTGTGTCTCGGTGGTAGAGCACTTGCCTAGCATGCACAAAGCTCTGATTTTGATCCCTAGCACTGCAAACACAAACAAACAGCAACAACAACAGAAAAATCCACGCTCTCAGAAAATCATTCTCCTCTCTCTCTTAGCTTCTGTGCCATCAGCAGGCCATTTTGTCTTTTTAAAGACATTTTCAACATGTTTGATCCTTCATCATTTATTGGATTTTTTGTTTTGAGACTTGTGGTTTATTGGGGAAGGGGAGAGAAGACTCACATGAATAAGCAATTACTCAGCCCTTCTGAATTCTACTCTCGCCTTAAATGTTATAAAAATAAAATAAACAGTAGCTGTATTTTTTTTCCCTTGCCCTGAGGATTGAACCCAGAGGGTGCTCTGCCACTGAGCTACATCCCCAGTCCTTTTTGTTTTGAGGCAGGGTCTTGCTGAGTTGCTGAGGCTGACCTCAAACTTGTGATCCTCCTGCCTCAGCCTCTCAAGTTGCTGAGATTACAGGCAAGGGCCACCATGCCAGCTGTTTATTACCTATTGAAATAATATTCTTTTTTTAAATTTTTTTTTGGATGGACACAATATCTCCACTTTATTTGTTTATTTTTATGTGGTGCTGGGGATCGAACCCAGTGCCCCATGCATGCCAGGCAAGCGCCCCACCACTGAGCTACAACCCCAGCCCTGAAATAATATTAACACATTGTGCTAAATATATTATAAATAATCAGTTTTATGATTTTTAGTATGATTACTAGAAAACTTAGAATTCACATGCAGCTAGCAGTATATTTTCGTTGGGTAATACTATTCTGGAACATTAATGCCACAGAGGCAACGTTTTTTGTATTCTTTCCATTTGACCCAGTTTTTCAATCCATGCATTGCCATGTCACCTTCTCTGCGAGTTCAAACCAACAATCTTTTAGTTCTCTGGTCTAGATGGTTTCCCAATCCTCCCACCACACTCTTTTACAACCCCAGGCTCTCCTCAGGCAGTCACATGACCTTAAGTGCAGGGTGCCTGCAGCAGCCTGGCTCAAAGCTCTTGGACACCCAGAGTACAGTCTCTGGATCTGCAGCAATAGCCTCAACCCGGGGCTGGTTAGAAAAACAGAATCTGAGGCCTTGTACCCCACTGAAGAACTAGCATCAGATTTAGAAAGACTCCAGGGTAGAGAAGGGGGCGCATTGGAATTGGAATTTGAGTGGTGAGCCTGGCTGTGAACATCTTTCCTCAAGCATCCTGTTCCAGTAAGTCTCCACATTGGCTCCTTCAGTTGATTCTGCAAGGTTGCAGAGTGTGAAAGTTGTGACTAAGGGAAACCAGTACTCTCCCTTCCTAAGAAAAACACTTAAAATAGTGAATTTTAAATAAATAGTATCTAGAAGACAGGTCCAGAGATCAAAATCTTGTACTTTACTAAAAACAGATTCAAATCAAATAGCTTTGTCTGTCTTAGGGACACTAAAGGAGCAGCAGGTACCACCACCCTCCACCCTCCCCAGAGCAGTGCAGTTGTTGGTGGCATGGCCTTGCCTCCTGCGTCCAGTTCTAACCTCAGACAGTCCCGTCTGGGCTTGGTGCTGACTTGAGCCTATGTCCCTGCAGCTAGCTGTGTTTCTTGGGTTGAACTGATTGTGGAGCTAGAGGAGGGGATGAGCTCTCTGGATCCAGTGATGAAGACAGGTGCAGCTTAATGGAATGCAGCTTCCACGTCTTGATAACAAGCGCTCCAAGTGATTTGGGGCCGTATTAAAGTTTGAGAACTACAGCTCAATAGCATGTTGTCTGTCCTGGGCTATGGCATGAATCATTTTTATAGATGTCTTAATTTTTGTTTTATGATATAGGCTCCTTGGGCTCCCTGAGACCTGTGCCTTAAACTCAGTAGATAATTAAAATATTTATTGGACAAATTAACATTTCCTTTTGTGAAGTCCTCAGACCTGTCATCTCTGAGTTGAAATGGACTGAGGGCTTTACTCTAAACTTTGATGAGCTGTTTAAGAGTGAAAGCCATCTCAAAGGAAGGCAGAGCAGAGGGAAGTGGGGACGGAGCCGGCCCTCAATTAGAGCCCACACTCCCAGAATGAGGGCAAAGCTGTTGTGACTGCTGGTTTCTCCTTACTCGCACTTCTTTTTACCATTTTTCTCTTTTTTTTAATGTCATGATGAGCTATAATTTGAGCTGTTTTAATGTTCTCCAAAAAACTTTAGATTGCTCTGTGTATATCACAAGAACTAAAATCCAATCCATATTCTTTGGGTGTTGGGAAAGGGGACTGTCACTTTTAGCAGTCATTGGAATAGGGCCAAAGCTCCAGGAGATACTAGAAGAGTCTAGAATTGTCTGATTGGTTATTGGAATTAACCATTAAGCGAAGCAGCCAGTAACCAAACAATGAGGACCTTCTTGAACTTCATTTGGGTGGGAGATCTTCCAGGATGTCTGTCAGCTCTGAATTGGGACAGAAGAGCCAAGGTTTGAACAGTGGTCTGTAACAAAGCAGCTCTGAAATCTCTCCACTGCCTGCTTTGTCTGAGGCTCGCCTCGTCTAGGCGTCTTCCTCTCTTTGTCGCGGCACCATCTACCAGTGCTGTCCTGCCTCCTCCAATTCACAAATGAGCGGAAGAGAAACCCCAGAGAGGCTCTGGGCTCATGTTCCAGAGTGAATCCACTCTCGGGTCCAGAAGCTGCTGACACACAAAGGAATTTTGTTCTGCAGATGGAGAGCAAAAACGAGGGAGGGGGAACTGTGGACATGTACTCGTCTACTCTCTCGACCACACGTAGTCCTTTGTTGAAGAGATTGTGGAGGAAGTGTCTGGCTTTAGTATTTATGTTTTCTTGAGGATACTTGTAAAATATTTCACATACATTAAACAAAACCAGTTTTCAAAACCCCATTTTCGTTGGCACTCTCTTTCAAAACATATCCTCCACAGCCAAGGAGGTCCTTGCCTACTGAGACTGAGCATGCCTTGGTCACCACAAGAAGACATGCATATAACCCATAGAATTGAGAACTAGCAGAGCAGAAGGTTGGAAAACCTGTCGTGTGAGGTCTCATTATAGTCCCACATAAACAGCAGAGGTAAAGGTGAGGGAATTGTCTTGTCATTCAAAGATGACCAGTGTCATCTCAGTGTCAATGGTACTGATCACTCAGTAATAGGAAAAGCACCTGGGTCACTCCCCCGCAACACTCCTCCAGAGCTCCAAGTGCACTCAGTGATGTCAGCAGGCACAGTTGACAGTGTGGGGAGGGTGAACAGGCTGAGGGCAGAGCTGGGGCAGTGACCCACCTTTGAGAGTTGGCAGAGCCGTCACCGAAGAGCAGCGCCTCTGTTCACTACCTTGTGTCCCAACGAAGACACCATCGGCAAGCGTGAGAGCTGCAGTTCCCACCGTCCACCTGGCTGATAAATCCGTCTTAAACATAGAAGGCACCCACAGAGCCCTCTCCAGAACACTTGTTTTCTGGTCTTTTCTGTGCCTGTGTGGGATGGGTGGAGAAGGGTTAATTCACCCATTTTCCAATTTAGAATTCAGGCCCAGGGCTATAGCTCTCCCTGTTCTTGGGGAGACCAGATTTGTCTGCGTTTGTCCCTTTGAAAAAAGCAAAGGCCTGTGGGATTCACTACCACCTCATAGCTGATATTCCTACATGTTCATTTACCAGCTAACTGATTTCAACCTTATGCTCTATCTCAAGTAGTTAAATATTTTATTGTTGGCTGTTTCTACATCTCTACATGGCCCTCATTCTCCCTTAATTGTGTATTCCTTGCTTCACCCAAAAAGCTTCTCACTCAAGATGGCCAGCATCCTCCATATTGAACAATGTACATTTCTTACTTCTTTACCCCCAAAATGTCTATGTCTTGAGATAGCCCACATTTCTCTCTCCTTCTCCCTCTCCCACTTTCCCAGTGTTGGGGATGTAGCTCAGTGGTAGAACATGTGCTCAGCACCACGAGGCCCTGTGTTCAGTCCTCAGCACCTCAACTCTCACTTGCTTTTTAAATATCTTCTCATACTAGCTTGTAAGCCCCATGAAGACAGAGGCCAGCTCTTTTTCATCTCCTAACCCTCACTACACTGAACATGCGGTTTCAAATTTCACAGGCACCTTAATGAAACTTGGTTGATTTGGTAGTCCTAGCGATAAGGACCAGTTGGATCACATTATTGGCAGTGTGTCCAGGGGAACAGATGTTCTTATTCAAATTCATGAAACTGGAAACATTGAAAAACAACAATCATGACATTGATTGATAGTGAAGTTTACTGTGTCAGACTGTTTAAGCTCAGCTCTAAAATGGAGTCATACTGTCATCTTTACATTTTGATTTCAAATTCACAGACATTTAAATACTGTCATTTGATTAACATCCTAATCCTTGCCTCGTGCTACTTAAATAATTATCAAGTTATGTCCCTGTTCCTTTGAATTTCACACTCAAACCTCTCTTTCCTGAGAGAACAGCACCTCTGGGTGCTTTGAAGATATTTTTGGCCTGTTAGGAGAAGATATTTATTAGCTGGCAGGGATGGACTGGGGAGGACACCATGGGCAAGGCCAGCTGGACGCAGGTGCTGAATGGCTCGTCTCTTCTCAGGTGGGGCGGGTCATCATTTGAATTGTATTAAAAGCTGCCTTAGAACTTGTTCTGCCGTCTTCAGAGCAAAGGCATCTTCCTGAAAAGCTGGTCTTTTTCCTTGTCCATTTTAGGTCCTGAATAAGCCCAGCCACATCCTTTATGAGCATCTCAGGTTTATTCCGATTTCCTGCACCACTGACCAGACTATGCAGAGTGCCTCGGGGACTTGGGCTTTGGGAGAAGCTGACGCTGCTATCCCCAGGAATAGCTGCCACGGTTGTCCAGATGGCAGGCAAGAAGGACTGTCCTGCTCTGCTTCCCCTGGATGAGAATGAACTTGAAGAGCAGTTTGTGAAAGGACACGGTCCAGGGGGCCAAGCCACCAACAAAACCAGCAACTGTGTGGTGCTGAAGCATATCCCCTCTGGCATCGTCGTCAAGGTAGAGGGGAGAGGCCAGGGGCTCTGCAGCCACAGTGGGCTTCTCCTAAGTGCAGGTGGTGTTTGCTGAGGGCATTCTCATCCTGGCATGGGCCATCCTCTGCCAGCAGATCTGCCCTGTGCCCTGGGCCAGTTTCCCCATACAGCATTAGAAGCTTGGTTCCAGGACCCTCTGGAGCCAGGGTACTAGTGCCATCCTTGAATTAGCAGGCAGCACTGGTGGTGTCTGGTTGCTGCCTACGCAGCAGCATCTCAACCAGGCAAAGTGGTGGTGGCTGGTAAAGGCAGGTCCCCGGGTAACGTGTTTCCTTCAAATCCACTCTAGCTACTGGTGACCAGAGACCTGTGGCAGTGCTGTGGCCTTGGGTCTCTGAGGGGCAGCAAGTGGGCCCATGCTGCCTGCTAGCTGTGGCAGCCATCAGCTGACGGCTTTCTAATGAATGGCCACGTCCTCCATGTTCTTCTGGCGCCACTTTGGTCAATGTCAGTGACACCTACCCATCCAGCAAATCATGTTGAGCCTCAGAAGAAAAAGTGCTCTGTACAGCTGCCTGTAGGCATCTCCTTATTTAAAAAAAAAAAAAAAAATCCCTCATCAAAAATACCACCAGGGGCTGGGGATGTGGCTCAAACAGTAGCGCGCTCGCCTGGCATGCGTGCGGCCCGGGTTCGATCCTCAGCACCACATACAAACAAAGATGTTGTGTCCGTTGATAACTAAAAAAAATAAATATTAAAAAAAAAATACCACCAGCTCTCAGCCAGTCCTGAACCTCTAGCAAGTGGTGAAGTGCTCTCACCTGTCTCCTGGTCTGGTCTTGGAGCTGCCAGCCCATCTTACCACACATCTATCACTAGAGGGCCCCAAAGCAGCGCCAGCCTGGAGGGACACTAGAGAGAGCTAGCACAGGGGCAAATGAGTCGTCCCCAGGTACTCGTAGCAAATACCCACACATCACATGACATGTGACAGACACTCTTATAAGCAACTATACACACACACTGACTTTTTCCATCTCCACAACCCCATGCTTGTCACATAACTTGCCCAAGGTTTGACTGAACCCAGGATCCATGTTCCTGATAGCTACACTTTACTGCCAACTTCGGAAGCCAAGGGCATACCAGTTAAAAGCTCAAATTACTTTTCTTTTCCTCCTAAGAAAAACTGTCATTCACAAGTAATGAAATTCTGAAAACTTGTATCATTAATTTTTGTTGAGCCTCTCTACTTCATGTGGCTTCTGGCTTGCTTCTGGTATTCTTTCACTCTTGTTTCACAGTATTTCATTAGTCAACCAGCTTTGCAAGTTATTTGCCCATAATGACAATGCCTTTATATAAGGAATGCTGTGATTGGCTAATAATATAGTATTTTCCTCTATTAGATATTAGCTTACAAATGGTGCATATAGATGATGCACGGGTTTGTTCCCTGGTCACAGCCAGATCATCAGTTAATGTTTTCACAATTTTTGGGGGGACTTAAGCTATTTAAAGGCTATTGTTGCTTCTAAACAAAAATAACATAACTGCTGGGATGGTGGCACACGCCTGTAATCCCAGCAGCTCAGGAGGCTGAGACAGGAGGATCACAAGTTCAAAGCCAGCTTCAACAACTTAGCAAAGCCCTAAGCAATTCAGTGAGATCTGTCTCTTAAAAAAAAAAAGGAGGTTCTGGGGATGTGACTCAGTGATTAAGCGACCCTGGGTTCAATCCCTGGTACCAAAAAGAAAAAAAATAATAACAACTATAAAACAGACACAGTGAAAGTCACATAACCCAGCTGGGGTGTGAGAAGGGGCAGAGACCTAGAGCAAAGGAGGAAGAATATGGTATTCACTGTCACAGACTCAGGGGAACTCCTGGCCAGTGCTGTGCCTCCCTAGCCTGACCAGACCATAAAGGGCAGAGATTTCTCACAGGTCCTTCCATCTCTTGACACCTATGATTTTCACATCATGGAACATTATCTCTTGCAGTGCCATCAGACAAGATCTGTTGATCACAACAGAAAGCTCGCTCGGAAAATCCTACAAGAGAAAGTGGATGTTTTCTACAATGGTGAAAATAGTCCTGTTTACAAAGAAAAACAGGAGGCAGCAAAGAAAAAGCAAGACAGGAAAAAAAGAGCAAAGGAAACTCTAGAAAAAAAGAAACTATTGAAACAATTATGGGAATTAAGTAAAAATTCTACTGAGAAAGTAATCACTGATTCCAGCTGACTTCGCCAAAAGGCTTCCAGGGAAAGATGATGGCGACTCCTGTCACCAGCACTGGTACAAAGCTTTTAAAGAAATAACTGACAGATTTAAAAGACATCAGTTTTTAAGTGGTGGACTAAACTATAGTGAATATTGATGCACACTTTGGAAATAAAACTATAAAACACAAGAAAGTTGTCACTATAAAAGGGTACTGGCTACTTTTGGGGGGAGGCACTTGATGTGACTTCCAGGATGGCTAGAGGAGTTGTTTCTTGACCTGGGCAACAGTTGGAAGTTACCTGCTCATGGGTCTGCGTGTGGTAGGTGGTGCGCTGGGGATTGAACTTAGAGCATCACACATACTAGATGGGTACCCTTCCAATATTATAACCTCAGCCCTTTTTTTTTCCCCAAAGAAAGGGTCTTTGGGGCTGCTGCAGAGCTCAGAGGTAGAGCACTCGCCTATAATGCATAAGGCCCCATGTTCAATCCTCAGAACCACAAAAAAAAAAAAAGAAAGAAAAGGAAAGGCAGGCTGGCCCCAAACTCTTGAATCAAGTGATCCTCCTGCCTCAGCCTCCAGAGCAGTGGGGACTAAAGTGTTCCCCTCACACCTGGCTTATTCTTTACCTTACTTGAAGCTATTCATTGATTTATGTGATTGAGTTTTCTTTTTTCTTTTAGTTGTAGATGGACACAGTACCTTTATTTATTTTTATGTTGTGCTGAGAATTTGAACCCTGTGCCTCATACATGAGAGGCAAGCGCTCTGCCACTGAGCCACAATCCTAGTCCTGATTGTCTATTGCATAAAACCTTTAGAAATTTGCTGGGTGCGGTAGTGCATGCCTGTAATCCCAGTGGCTTGGGAGGCTGAGACAGGAAGATTACGCATTCAAAGCCAGCCTCAGGAACTCAGCAAGATCCTGTCTCTAAATATTTTTTTTTATATAGGGATAGGGATAGGGATAGGGTCTGGAGTTGTAACTCAGTGGTAGAGTGCTTGCCTAGCATGCATGAGGCACTGGGTTCGATCCTCAGCACCACATAAATGTAAAATATATTGTGTCCACCTAAAACTAAATTTTAAAGGGGGGGGGGGGGGTTGGGGATGTGGTTCAGTGGTTAAGCACTGAACAAAATCCCTGAACAAAAAAAGATGTCATTTATCCTAAGGTTGGTTTGAGAGTAAGAGAAAGTGATGATGAAAGTTAAAAAAAGATACTCAAGTTACTTGCCCATTTACTAAGACACACTGTATGTTGCCAAGTAATGTCTCTTGATGTAGAAAAACATGTCATTCTGTGTTGACATGCAAGCAGATGTGTTAGGAATAAGGTTCCAAAACCTGATGTGTTTGTGAGTTTGCATCACTCTGGACTTGACCTTATATGTTTGGTTTTGTCACTGTTCTCTGGGTTTTTTATATCCATGGTTAACAGCTTGCAGGTAGGGAAAATACTGAGGTGAGGGGGCCACCATCAGACTGCCAGAAATCCGGCCTACATCACCTGCCGTGAAGCTGATCCATCCAGCAGCCCAGCCCTTTTGACATCCGAGCAGGGCTCTCCATGCCTCCCACTGGTGCATCAGGGACCCTACCCACCAGCTCCCCTGAGCAATAGTCTCTTCAGTGAGAGCCAAGAAACCAGTAAGATTGGAAGGCAGACTTAGAGCCACAGCCAGGAAGCTGACCTCTCCTCTTCACCCTTGTCACATGCTTGGAGAAGGTGCAGAGGAGCCACCCCACCACAGCCCACACCCACCAGTCAGATCTTGCCTCCCACCTGCAAAACTCCCTCCCTTTTCCTGGGTCTACCCTCAGCAAGGCAAACCCTCACCACAGGGGTCAGTGCTGAGGTTGCACAGCAGAAATGAACTGAGCCCCTGTGGGAAGCACTGCTGGAAAGCACCACATGGAGTCACTCCTCTCAGCTCCAGAGCAGACCCTTCCTCCAGCGCGCACCCAAGTCGCCACCACGTGGAATGAGAAATAGCCTCTGGGGCTCCTAACACCCTGGCAGAAAGGGCAGTTCACGGCTGCCGCAGGTTTCCTAGCACACACTTAACTACATCTTAAATAAACCCATCGTGCAACTCTGCGTCATCCCTACCTATGCTAAAGCAAACACGTCCTTTCTCCACCCAGCTGAACTTTGTCAGAAAATGTCCTTTGACAGGTCATCTCCAATCTTTCACAAAGGCTGAACTGCTTTAATTGCACTTAGAAATTCAAGGAATATACATCTCAATACACATTGTTAATGAAAATAAGCTTTATTACATCAAGTAATAAATACATACAAAGATGCAAACAGTTTTAGTCATTTTCTTCCAGATGTTTTGATCAACTTACAGTAAACACAAACTGAAATCTACATACAGTCTTAGTATGAAAATTTTCGGGGTCCTTATTAGATTTGGTAGGTTGCTCTTTCTTCTGTATTTATAACTTGTGCACTCTTAAAATTGACTTCAAAGCACTAAGAGTCATGCAAATGCTTAAGCAAAAAAGAAGTGCCAGTAAGCAGAATCTACACTGTATGGCACATGGGACCAGCTAAGTGAAGCAGGTGGTCAGGATGCATTAAAACAAAGTCCTTGGGATCAAATGAGCTTATGAAAAGGTACAAATAACAACTTGGGTGACATAAAGTATTCAAAAGATTAAAGGGAGACACTGGTATCTTGGAGCCAAACAACAGTTTGCTGAAAAATAACTTCACATGCATCTTAAAAAAACAAAAACAAAAAAACCTGGGTCATTCCTAACTACTTAAAATGCAAATCCTAATTAACTTCGAAATCTTTTCCCAATATTTTGAGACTGTGAATCTTGGGAGAAAAAACTAAACTGTTACCATTTTGAAAATGAGTATTTCATCTGAACAGGGGAGATGAGCTGTAGAGAGCCAGGAACCCCCAAGCTGGCGGGGAGGCTAGGACCTGGCATTCCGTTCCGTTTCAGCCAAGCACTCCCGAACCAGTCCTCGTGCGTGAATGATGCCTGAAAGAGAAGCCCAGGTCTGGAATCAACCCAATCAGCACCCTTTCCAGAACAGGAGGATCCACCATAAAACCCTCAAATTGTCACAAGTTTGAGGCCAGCCTCAGCATGTTAGCAAGACCCTGTCTCAAAAAATAAAGGCTGAGGGGGGTTAGGGTTGTGGCTCAGTGGTAGAACACTTGCCTGGCACGTGAGGCCCTGGGTTCAAATCTCAGCACCGCATGTAAATAAATAAAGGTCCATCGACAACTAAAAATTAAAAAAAAAAAAAAAGGCTGAGGATGTAGCTCAGTGGTGAAGCACCCCTGGGTTCAATCCCTGGTAAACCCCCCACCCCCCCAAAAAAATTCCTCAGATTGTGCCCAGTATGTTGGCTCACACCTGTAATCCTAGATGCTTGGAAAGCTAGAGCAGGAAGACCAGAAGTTCAAGTTCAAGGCCAGCCTTGCCAACTTAGTGAGACTCTGCCTCAAAATAAAAAGAAAATGGGGCTGGGGCTCAAGCGGTAGCGCGCGCGCGCCTGGCATGCGTGCGGCCCGGGTTCGATCCTCAGCACCACATACAAAGACATCGTGTCCGCCAAAAACTAAATAAATATTTTTAAAAAATAAAAGAAAAAGAAAAAAGGGCTGGGATAGCTCAAAGGTTGAAAGATATGCCTAACGAGTGCAGCCCTGGGTTTGCCAGCACTGCAAAAACTAAAAATAAGGGGTTGGGGATATAGCTCAGTTGGTAGAATGCTTGCCTCACATGCCTAAGGCCCTGGGTTCAATCCCCATCACCACAAATAAATAAATAAGAAATAAAAATAATACCTCAGACTAGAAGGGAACCTGGGAACTACATGCAAAAAACTCAAAGCCAGGGGTAGTGGTGCACACAAATATGGTATCTGCTGTTAGAGGGTGGTGCAGGAGGATCACTTGGGTCCAGAGATCAAGACCACCTTGGGTAACATTGAGGACCACTGCCTCCAATAGAAAACCCAAATATATGAGCTGTTAAGGGACATTAACAGTCCCACCTTTAAAGCTCCTTGCTCCTAGGCAAAAAAACCTCTTTGTACTGCCAAAATCTCTCCTGCACTCAGAGTGGCCCCAGCAAGCTATCCTTTTCAACATTTTGTTGGAAGGTGGGAGAAAAAAATGCAAAAGTTCTTTTACATTGGACACAATGTGGCTTCTTCAAATTCTAAATCCTAGAAAGGGATAAGCCAGTGTCAAGTAGGTAAGAGGAAACCCCCAGTCCACATGCCTCAGGCACAAGAGGACACTGCTCACCTGTGGAACTGCTGGTGCACTTTGACATCCTTCCCCTAGGAACTTCAGCTGCCCTGTGCCCATGAAGCTCCCCAACTTTTTCTCTGTGGTTTGCTGGCTAACTTTTTCTTTCTGCCCCTACTTAGCTTCATAAAATATTAATCTCATTTAAAGAGACACCAAAAATTCTATTCTAGTATATGACTAGAGGCCACTATGATCACCTCTCCAAATCACCAGCAGCTAAAACAAGGCGTCCACACCCAGTATTCTTACAATCTGCCTCAGAGGTTCAGAAAACTTGCTCAAATCATCAGCATTTATTACAGGGTTTCACGGTCTGTCACTGCTTCTCTACTCGGCTAGCATATAGTGAAAGCAGCCAGGCGTAATGTACAAACCATGAGTGTAGCCAGTCCAAATCAATCTGTATTTATGAACACTGAAGTCTCAATTTCATATGTCTCCAAATCACTTTTTTTTTTTTTTGCAACCAATAAAAACTATAAAAACCTTTCTCAGTTCATGGGCTATAGTTTACCTGTCTATCAACAATGCTTTCTGCTGGGTACAGTGGCAGATGCCTATAGTCCTAGCCACTCGAGAGGCTGAGACAGAAGAGTCACAAATCCTAGGCCAGTCTGGGGAACTCAGGGAAAACCTCTCTCAAAAAAATAATAAATAAACTGCTGAGGATGTAGCTCAGTGAACAGCCAACTTCTCTAACTAGAAATCCTCCTCTCCCTGCATGCATCTGATGTCATGAGGCAGCAAGCTACTTCACATCCTCCTCCCGAGTTATTGTGACAGCACCCTCTTGACCTTCCTCTCGCCTCCATCACTAAAGAACCTGAGGGTGCCCCACACTGAAGACACGCTGCCCCCTTCCTTGGTCCTGTGCCAAAGATGTGACAGCAGAGGGCAGCGTGGACAACTAGAAGCCCTAAACCCAGGCCTTCCAGTAACCTCTGCACAACACTGCCCAGGAAGAGCCTGTTGCAGCTGGCTCCCTGCTGGTATCACCTAAGGGGACAGAGCAGGCAGGGAACATGGCCTCCGGGTCTGGAGCCGCAGGGCCTCTCATGCAGCATGCCAGAGTGACAGCGCACTGCAAACTCCACCTGTAACACCCAGCCTTCACTGGCCCTGCCCCCACCCCACTGCACCGCAGCAAAGCAGACCATGGAGCAGGAGACCCTTTTCTACCTCTAGCATTTTCCCGAGAAAACCTTTCAGTTTTTTTATTGAGATGGATCACACTATGTTGCCCCAGCTGGTGTCAAATTCCTGGGGGCTCATGTGATCCTCTGGCCTTGACCACCCAAGAAGCTGGGACTCTGAGCATGTGCCATCATGACCAGCTTTAAAAAAAAATCTTTCAAAATAGTGACTAGATCAGCCTGTAGGTCCCCCAGGACCTCTGCTCACCTCGTTTTAGTCTCTCCATGGCGCTCTTGCTCCCTGCATAGGTGGGTCTTATCTCCTTCCCCAGCTCTTCGATGATGGCCAGCAGTTCCGCATACTTGCTCTGGGGCACCTGGCTATTTCCAGTTCCCTAGAATCACAAGGACGGGGTTTCAAATGCATTGAACCTGACCCCAATGCCATGGTTAGGCCCCGACCACAAACAGGCACAGCCCAGGGCAGAATCAGAGCAGGGAAAGCCTGGGGTGGGCTCCCAGGACTTGCGGGGACAATACCAGAGAAGACTGACCCCCAAGAGCCCAGAAAGCTCCTTTCCACCCCAAAGGAAAGTAAAGAACTGTCTCCAGGAAAAGAATTCACAGGGAGTTCCCTGGAGCCATGAGGAAAGAGTCTCTGGGGGCTGAGTGTCCACAGCAATGGCAGATGGAAGCCACCCCGAGGTGAGGTGGAAATGGCAACTCCAAGATCCCAGCCGGGGCCAGGAGTATATCAAATCACCCAGTCCTCCCCATAGGCAGGGCCACCGGCCAGAAAGTCCCTTTCTCCAGACCACTGCCACCAGCGCCGCCCGCAAGCACCCAGATCAGGGAGGTGCCAGGCTCAGGCCACTCCTCCTCCTGGGCCTGCTCAGCCCTCGGTGGCACCAGGGCAGCCAGCTCTCTCTGCAAGGCCCTCGCCTGCTCCTCCCGCCTCTGCCGCCTCTGCTCCCTGGCCTCGCCAGCAGGCCTCGAGGCCCAGCCTGGCCGCCCGGCCTCCTGGCACAGCTGCCTCCTGGCCTCACGCTTCTCCCGGCGCCGGCGCAGCATGGCCAGAGCGTTGCGCTGCCGCTCCAGGCTGCGCCGCAGCCCGTCCTCCCGCCGACGCCGCTTCTTCAGGCGGTCCCTCTCCTGGGCCCGGGCCTGCTTCTCCTCCTGGGACAAGACAGCCTGCCGGGGCATGGCTGGGAAGCCACACTCAGTGACAGAGAGGCCACCTCAACCCCAGCGCAGGCTCCACGGCAACCCCGGAACTCGGCCTGGGGTCTGGCCCAAGAGAGAATCTTCAGCTGGTTCCCAGAGGACTGGGAACCTCCCCGGGCACCATATCTCCCGAGTTGTGGCTAAAGTGGTGGCTCCTCCTTCCCTGAGGACCCTGAGTCTCCTGGAGATTTCCAAGGGGGGCTGCAGTCCCTTAAGTGCAGAACCACTCACTTGGGGACCACACTGGTAACTGCCAGCTCTTGATGAGGAGGCCTTACCTCTGACCCAGCCTACAGCCCAGAGTCAGTCAGGCCTTACTTGCCAGGAAACGGGAAAAGAAGGAGCCACCAGAGATGTGGGGTGCTGGCCCTGGCAGAACTGCATCTCAGAGACTGCGAGACCTTCCCTGTGCTTGCCCCTCCTCAAACCTCAGCGTCCCCTGTCACTCAGTCCTGGCTGCCTCTCCATCCTGCAGCTTCAAGTCCTGACCATGACCCAACAGGGCTGGGAGAGGTTTCGAGGAGACTGCCTCAGTCTGTGAGCACATCTCCCCAGAGCCCCAGGCCCTCCCACCTTGCGGGCGCCCACACTGCCCTACCTGGGTGTAGCCCAGCGATGGTGGCCCATAGTCACTCAGCAGCTGGCGGTACTGGGAGGATGCTGCC